GTCGAGGATACTTTTGTTATTTGGCCTCATGGTCAGAAATCCTTAGTAGATTTTCTAAGACATTTAAACTCTATACACAATAACATACGTTTTACCATTGAAGTAGAAACTAATAACAACCTCCTATTCTTAGATATTCTTATCAATAAAAAGTCAGACCTAACATTGGGTCATTGTGTTTGCAGAAAACCTACGCACACAGACCGATAACTTAATGTATTGTCACATCACCATCCGGCCCAAAAATCATCGGTTATCAACTCTTTTGTTGTAAAACTATCTCAGTCCTAGTCATTGAACAAAGAATTTAAACACCTTACATCTGCTCTACTCTTTAATAATTTCCCCATTAAAAATATTAAGCATTCCATCACAAAATACACTTCACCACAACCTTCCAATAGGAATGAAACCGAAACCTATCCCACACTTGCGACTGTTGTCCTTCCTTATATTCAAAACCTCACTGACCATATATCAAAAGTTCTAAAGTAATATAAGGTCAAAACCAGGTTTACCACTTGTCCCAAAGTCTCTCAACATCTTCGATCCGTCAAGAACAAAATTCCATTTGAGATGCCAGGAGTTAATAGCATTCCATGCATATGGATATCCGAGATCATTATATCTGGGGTTAGTTTGGTTTGATTAATTTGTGATTAAAAGAGAGGTCCCTCCCATAGATTGCGCAACAGTTCTCCATCATTCACAATTCTTTGACCTCTCTGATTTTATTTCTGATAAACCGCTGAGTGTCTTTATATTCCTGGAGGTTTGTGTCTTTAAAGTTGCTCCGTTTTTTGATTAGAACCAGATCATGTATAAGAAACTTTAAAAACAAAAAACTTATACAAATAACGTAGTGTTCAAAATGAGTTTCTTCAGAATTCACTACTACTACCAACATTTTAAATACTGTATTGTTGAGCAGATTTAGTTTCTTTATTAAAAGAAGCTAAGCTACTTTTTGGTATTAGTGCTTAATGTGAAATGAAGGAAGCGAAGCTTTGAAATAGCATTGGTTGGTTTCTTTCATTGTTTCTGATATATATATCCATTATTTCCCATTCCCGTTATTTCTGTTTACTCAATGAATTAATTTGTATTTAAAAAACCTTTTTGCATTTTCATAGTTAATTAAGGGCTAAGACAGAAAAGTGCAAACCTTTTGCTCCAATCTCTAACAATTTTTAACTAAACAAAAAATAAAATGATAAAATGCACAAAGATACAGTGTGCTCTAATTAAAATTTGTTGATTTTAGCAGCCTTAAATCGAAGCATGCTGTAGGGAAAACAAGTGAACACTGAAAAATCCCATTTTATACCATCCAACTTTTGTATAAAGCTACGCATACAATATACTGAAACATAAAACCTATTGAAAAAGTGGCCAATCTGTATATACAAATAAATGGTTAATTGCAAAAAAGGCACCACTGTCTATATGCGTTCCGTTTCAAAAACGTCCCTCAAAAAATCAAATTAAGTCTTTCGACCTACTTTTTTAAGACAGAGAAGATTTTCGGTTAATTCTTCGAACAACCGGAACCTTAAGTTTATAAGTAAGTAAGTAATAAGTAAGTAAGTATAAGTGATACGATTTTGACAACGTCGCCAAATTTTGACTCATTGACTCAAGATTCAAACTTCAGAAAATAATGTTTTTAATATTGTTTAATTAAATAGGTTTTATAAATAAACGGATACATTGGCGTTTAGTTAATAGATAATAAGAAAATTAAGGCAACATTTTATTACTTTCTTCACCTACTGGTGAATGCGCGATTTTTTAAACATTGAACAGCAACAATATTGAACAAATTCATTTAGGATTCCCAAAAAAATGGTCGTCCATAATAATTTTTTTGGGCATATTTTGCAGTAAACATAAAATATATCTTTTTTCTTTTTATGAGCAAAAAAAAATATATAAATTTAATTTTGAAATGAACAGGTAAGTGGCTAGTACCAGTAAAGTTCTTAGATTATCAGAATTACCTTTCTGTCAGTGAAGAAAGTGAAAGTGAAAAAATTGAAATTTTAATTTTTATTGAATATGTAAAAACTTGAAATCTAGAAGTTTGCAATTTTTTTAACGCCAAATATTCAGAAAGACCCATTACAAGATCTACAGTTAATAAAATTGGGAGAGCCAGGTCGTCTAGAAACTAATAAGAAAACAAGAATACAAGAAAACAATAAACGTTTGGGTAGAGTTTTTCAATATCAAAATTATTGGACCTTATTTTTTCAATGAAAATCTTACTGGAGCCCGATATTTACAATATTACAAAATGATTTAATTCTGAGTCTTGCAGTTTCTTTCTCAAATCCAAATCAGACTCATATGCCAGATAGACGCATGGTGTTGATCTATAGTACCTACTAAATCAGACAAATTATTGAAAATATTCTAAGTTTTGTTTGGAAGTATTTTTAAACCGATTAGCATATTGTCAAAAAGTTAATGCTCGGCATATTCAAGACCTAAGTCTTCTCTAAGTGTTAAAATTAAAATTTCAATTCTCTGAGTCTCATTTAGATGCTGAATATGGAATACTGATAATGACAACTTTACTACTTCTTATCAGTTTAAAATTAATATTTTTTTATTATTTTGATCATAAAGGTAAATGGTTTAAAAATGATATTTCATTTAGAAAAAGGAACTTGAAAACGACATCTACTTTTTTACCGCCCGGTATATTTTCTATTTACTGCAAAAAATACATAAGAAAAATTATGATATACGTGTGCCAATATTTTTCTGGAAAAGGGAACCTGAGATCAACTTTATTAAAACAATTAAAACTAGAGAAGTCTAAAAAATTTTTGCATAAAACAAAAGTGTATTGTTATCCCAAATCTAGAGTCTATATAGTTCACTTGATTTTGGCAGCTCGGTTTTTATTACAACGTAAGATGGTTTTTATTTATTTTGTTAATTTTTGATTTCGTACTATTATTTCTATCACAAAATAATATTTTAATTTTAATTACTTGCGATTCGACAGGAAACTTTGTTCACTATTTTGAATCGAATTTTAATCAATTTTGCCAAGGATCGTGGATTTGAGTTCGGAAAGAATTTAAAAGAAAACTTCTTTCTTAGTTCTGGAACCCGAAAGCCGACAAAATTACCGCCCAGGAATCGGATGGAATTTATTTTGAAGACGTTAATTAATTCGAATGGCGGTAAGCGTGGTTACCGGAGCGGGACGGGACGGACAAAAGCGCTCCGCGGCTTTCAATAACGTTCGACAAACAAAAAAGCCGCCCTCCCAGTTTACAATAGTGTCATTAGAGATCAATAAGTCGACGTCCCAGTTTATTAGAGCGATGGCCGACATCATTAATTTCGTCAATGACGAACAGTTTCCGAACTTTCTTGGTTTACAGAGTTAGTTGGAACCGCTGCCGCTAGTCCGAGGAATTGAGCGATTGATTTTGACAGTTGCATAGTTCCCCGGACCACGCCTTCAAAGTAGATTTAATTTTAGTGAAATCGAAGTCTTTTGGGACTGCGTGGGACAAATTGCATTAACTGCGGGTCAAATTATATTAGGTTATTAATTAATCGATTTTATTTATATATTATGCACCCTAATTAATTGTACATTTAATTATACTTGTATATTGTCTTAATATCACGAATATATTTACACATAATAAATCAAACGATAACGAAAATTAAAAAAGAGTTTCAAATGAATAATGAATTAAATTTATTTAAAAATATATTACTAGTGATTAATGAACTGTACTTTCTGTTGAGTGTGTGCTAAGAAAAAATTGATTAAAAATTAACGCGCCATCCACAAAGCCCATTTGGTTACTAGTTTTACACTTTTTCAGAGAAGAAAAATTCCTGGGTGCCATTTTGCATAAAAAGTTAAGGATGGCTGGAAATAAATTTTCAAACATTTATCTCATACTAAATTTTATTACAAATTGAAATTGACTGTGATTAGTCACTATTGTCTTTGCAAGGGAAACTTCAAACCGTCTAGAGATCCTTTGTTTTGCACCTATTATCTAATGGTGTGCGAGAACAGTAGGTCTATAGTACTGAAGCAGTTAGTCAGTATTTATAAAGGTTATCATACTATCACTATCGATGGCACATTGGGGATTTTGTAAAATTGGGAGATAAAAATTTGCTGAAAATTTAGTCGCTAAAGTTTTTGACTATGGTCTATCGACGTAAAATATAGCAATGTCGCAACGTTGCCGCTTCTATTCAAAAGTAGCGACAACTTTTATTTTCTTAATACGATACCCTGTATATTATTTCATATTTCTCTTTGCTATTACTTCCTGGCTTTTTTTAAATATGCTTCCCTATATCTACGACTATCGGTTTTTGGGATATTAATGAATATCTATATTTTTCGGCTGAAAAACACCCCAATTAAAATTATTATTGCTGCGGTACTTGACAATGACAATACTCCTGTCAATACAACCTACCAAATAGGTCAAAAACATAGCATTATTTTGAAAATCTTACTATTATCATTTGAAAGATATTTTAAATATGTATAAGAATATTGGATGTTATACAGGGTTTTCCATTTAAAAAAATTGACTTATATTTAAATTTTGTTAATTTTTTAACTACCCTGTACATCGCAGAAGGTACTATTCTACAGAAAACAATTCTCAAAATGTTGGCACACCGCAATTTAGAGTTCTAAATAAGAATTTAAATTAGGGTTTATTTCAACCGAAAAATATAGAAATTAATTAATTTTTCGAAAATTTTTTGTAATAGGTGCTGCAAAATATTTTACAAAAATAATAAATATGTCGCTACTTCTGAATAGAAGTGGTACTGAAAATATTTTGGATCAATAGATCAGATTTCACAAACCTAATTCGATTGATCATGAGATACCCTGTATATCTAGATCCACGATTGTTTATATCTTTCACATTTCTTCATAGTATTAGCAATACTATAGAAACCCACCATGCAATTTGTTTTTTTTATTGCAGGAATTGTCTTCCCAATTACAAGAAGTCAACGAGAGGTCTAGCGGTTGGTCGCCTTGGTCAGATTGGTCCCTCTGCTCAAGGTCAGTTTTTTTACATTAATTCGTTTGGCATCCCATAGTTATTGTCTCGAGATCGATGGCAACAATAATAAATGAATGAAAAATGAACAGGAGAAAACTATGTGAAGCAACTGACAGTTCTTAGCAATTTTGAAAATTGTAAATTATTATTATGACTGTACGCTTCTGGAATCCGAATTAATTTAACTTTACGAAAGTCCATACGTTTTTTTTAATTTACTGACGCCACAATTTATTTACTTAGTTGTCAGGTAAAAATTTGACAATGTCATTTTGTCATGGTCAATTTATGTCATGGTAATAGTCTTAGACAATAAAAATTGCAGATTTTTGTAAGGTAATATATATGGTATGCCATTTAAGACAATTGTGATATTTCAGTTTAAATTGATTATTTTGTTTTGAATGCCCCGTCTTATTTAATTCAAATTCTATTGCTTACATCTTTTAAGTCATCTTAAAATAATTTTAAACTGTGCATCCTAACAATCGCCTTCTTTTGGTTATTTCACTAATGTTTTTCCCTCGTACCTGCTGTAGGTCATGTTTTATTGAACTGACAGTAGCTTTTCAATCCCTCAATAATTTCAGCAGTACGAAATGACTGTCTCAATTAAATCAGAACAAAAAATGTTCAGATTTTCACAATTAGTTAATGATTTATGATAGCTGTTTCGACAACACCGTGCCTTTATCAAAATATTGTATACAATATTCGGAGGTCTATATACATATATAAACGAGTGGTAATAGATAAATCTTGGGACATGATCTACAGTTCAACTTGTAGACTCTGGATTTTTGAGTTTTTCGTAATTTAGTTTTATTGTTTTTTAAAATTTTGCCATTTGTGTTTTCAGTTTTGAAAGTAATTGTAAGACCCAATTTAAACATATGTTTCGAAATTTTCTTGCTAAGTTCTCCTATGTATTTTAGTGTTTTATAAATTTTGGATTCGTTGTTTAATATGGGATCAACAGAGTTATTTGAAACTGCTTTTTAGTTATAATCTTATCTATCAAAGAGGGGTCGTAACCATTGTTAAAACCTATTTGCTTTGCAATATTTAATTCTTTTTCAAAATTTTCTCCGGAAAGTGGGATACTAAGTATTTTGTGTCCTTGTGTGAGTAGTTTAGTTATAGTTAAGTCCCAAAAGTTCAAAGAGTTATCTATTTCGGTCTCTATGGTAAATTTTATACGGTTGTGTATGGAGTTAATATGATTCAAAAACGACTGGAGTTGTCTTTCCGTTCCGGTGAAACAAGCAAAAACATCATTTACGTATCTATACCACCAGAGAAATCTTTTACTCAGGGGATGTTTATGTATGATATTTTCTAAATTGTCCATCAAAATTTCTGCAAATTGAAAATAATTTTTGTCTAAACAAACTGTGTGTGTGTGTAATTTAATTGAAGAATATAATTTTGGAGGTTGAGGATTCATATCGGACAAACAGGTACATCATTTAAGAAACGCATTAACTAACATAAAAGGGCGTAAAAAAAGAAAAGTTCGGATTCTAACCATAACATTCATTTAAATTCAGAAGTTTGAGATTAACAAAATGAGATATTCGAATTTATTACGTAATGACCAATTGGATTTTATTGCGTCTTCCTTGTTAAATTTAAATTTATAACCTTACACCGGTAATTATAAATTTATTGAATGTCTTTGTTTCACGATCTTGCTTGTCATTTGCAGGTCCTGCGATGGAGGCACGTCGCAGCAAATACGATCTTGTAAGAATGGTCCTTGCAGAGGTGACCACGTGCGTTACAAAATTTGCAATATGCAGGTGAGTGCTTTTACTTCTCAAAACGATATCAAGAGGTGAAAAAATCGGTTTTATATTTAAGAAAAAACGAGTACTCGCAAAGCGGTCCTCTCGCCGTATGATTTTCGATGCCGGGAGTTTGGTAAAAAATCCGCTCTCGCTGTAAAATAAAACTTCGTTCCGTATAAAAAATTAACGGCAAACTTTGCGTTACGTTAAAGTTCGAACACGTTAACGGCTACAACTTCGACGGGGGTCTTTTACGCGCCGAGAATTTTGTACACTTTCCGAGTAGTGTATAAAACAAAAGAAAGTTGACTTTACGCGAGGGCGTATAAAATTTAACACGAAAACTTGAGCTTTAACCCGAAGGTGAGAGCTCGGTGATCAATATTAAGAAATATGTGAACATTGGCAATAAGGAACTTTCCGTTTTGAGAAGAATGTTCGCCAAACATTGGTGCTTAAAGTTAGAATGTAACTTTGTTGTTGTTTAAAATTCCAAAAGGTTATCTTCACAGAAGATTTATCTGACTTCAACAGGCTTAATACTGTTTTTCTTAATTCCATACTTGCTCTTTCAGCTGATTCCGAGCAATCAATTATTCACTATAACGACAGACTTACGAATGAATTGTTTAACTTTGTGTATGTTAATGAAATGCACATCTTTAATATGTTAAAATCAATTACGAGTAAAACCAATAGCATCAATATATCTACGATTAATTTATACCCTTTTCATTGCCATAAATTACGTATTTAATTAATTCTTCTTCTCACTCTTTCCAGAGAACTAGAAGGTTGCCAAAGTCTCTAATGCTGTAATTTACAATAACATTCGACCAATCAGCCATCTTACCTAATTTTTCAAGATTTTTGAAAAACCAATTCTAAATTTTCTGTTTGCTAATTTATACTTAGGTTTTTCCCTTTCTTGGGAATATTTTCATGACCCTCTATTTTGTTTTTAATTGTTTTGCTTGATTTTTCTTTGTGATTTCGGTATTTCTTTTAGTTCTAATTTCTCTATATAACATCAGCTCTGCTCGAGGTTTCTGAGTACACCAATGAGGCGTAAACCCCTTAATTAATTTAACATGATGTGCAATTTATTTTTAACTGTTTCATGGCCATTTTTTGCCCATTACTCTGTTGATTAAATGAAGAGGAGAAGATACGAAAGATTACATTTATTTTGCATGTTTGGTTGGCCCATTTAGAAAAAGCCAATATAAAAATCACAAAACCTCCTGTTTGTAAAAAGTCAATATGCTCTCTCTCCAATACCTCTTTAGAGACTGGCCACGGTGAAAGCTCCAACTAACGAAAACCAAATCTGAGGCAATGAGTTCTTTAAATTTACTTGCCCGCAATCTTGCGTCTAAATGAATTTTACGTTCTTTTTGAGTAAATTTTATAACGGTGGACAAATAGAAGCCATATTTAGTATGAATTTAGCATAAAATGTTATTATGCCCACAAAAGGTTTAGTTTCCGTGCTATTTTCGAGACTTTTTTCCTCTAAAACGGCTTTAATTTTTTCATCTGTTTTCATCAGACCATCCTTTGATATGAAATAACCCAAATAAGTAGCTGAACTTTTAGAGAATTGACATTTAGGCACTTTTAAAATCAAACCTGCATTCAGCAATTTACATAAAACTTCCTCTAGAGTCTTCAAATAAGATTGTTTATTGATAGATGTCACATCTAGGAAAACTACGCATTTTTCTACTCCCTGAACAATTTGCCCTATTAACGCGGCGTTTCATGCAGCCATTCAAGAAGGCAAACAGTTTCATGCGCATGAGACTACGATGTGTAGACCACACCAAAAGCTTCTTGGCCTTATCATCCAGCTCGAACTCGTTGTATGCCTGACATAAGTCAAGCTTCGTAAATTGCTGTTGGTCTCTATTGAGGTAAGTATACCTTCCGAAGATTCGCAGTTCACGTAAACAAATGTCTACAAAAAGATTGTATCAACTTAAAAATTATATTTGAAATACACATTTTCTGTAAAAATACTTCAGTATTTCTCCTTAGTCCCGGTATATTTTAACTATTGCGAAAGTGTCTATAATTATTGCATAACAATTGCAGATAGTGAACGCATACAAAAAATGCAAAATCCGTGTCTCCGACTAATACATGGAATAAGAAAATATTAGAGAATTAGTCAGAAAATTAAGGAAATTTATTGGCTCTGTATCCGTGTGTGTGGTTTACCTCACATTGTTTGTACCACAAATTTATTAATATAAGACTTCCACCATTGCTTCATATAATAAAATTTAGAACTGATGTTCACAATTTTATTTCATCCACGTTGTACGAGCGTTCGTCTTCATTTGGAACAGCCAACTCCATTAATTGATATACTCAATTTCTAAGCTGGTTGTTATACAAATTTGAAAGACACTTTTTTAACACGTAAAACCTCAATTACTATCCTACCCTGTCATATATGATAAATAGCCGTACAATTTATAAGATTAGCAACAAGTAAAATTTGCAATTCGTTCGTTTTCAATATCAGCCGACCCGCCTTTATAACAGATATTTATTTTATATACGTATATAAATTTCAGGCAATTTATTGTTATTTTCCTTTATAAATAATACACTTTAGCTTAATAGAAAACTAAGAAAATGATGTATTGACGTTTTCTGGCTGAACTGAAACTGGCCTGGAGCATTAAATAATAAACATTTTATTTGTATTTTTTTATTTGCAAGTCCTTTATTATTATTATTATTATTATTAAAGTGAGAACTTAGAGATCAATATTGGAAATATATTAACATTGGAAATAGGAGACTTTCCGTTTTCATCCATATTATGATTTAGTTAAGTCTGAAGAAAATATTGCAAAAATATTAGTGCTTAAAGTGAAAATGTAACCTCGTAAACAATGTTTAAACGAGCTGAAAATATTATCAAACTATCCAATACTCGTCATTGTGTGTCAAAATGTATGATTTTGTTTTAAAGGCTCATCAGATTGTCGATCTTTTTGTTTTGGTTACCCCATGTTGCTTTTGTTTTGGAAGAATAATCTGAAAATTAATATTATTGGATGATGACGCGTTACAAATGTAAAAACGTCTAATGAAGTGTCCATGGCAATGTTAGTTTCGCAAGGATCTATCCTTGGACCACTTTTCTTTACTCTTTACATTTCGCAGTTTTGTACAGAATATCCAAAATATAGTTCCCTATCCCGTTAACGCGGAAAATACGAACAATAGAAAAAAAGCATGCTATTATAAGTACAACGTCCTGTATATGCGTCATTTTTGGATTTTCCCAGAAATTCATGTATAATATCCTATACTTCAGTCAAACCGTTTTCAACAAATCTTGATTTTTTTTACAATTTTGCCTAGATTTAAAGTGGGAGGGTGTCTATTTTTATATAGTTTGTCCAAGATAAGGATGTCTGTCATGGGGATATTGGAAAATCGTAAAACATACGAAGATTGTTAAACTAGAAAAAATTTTCAAAATTGAAAGGTAAATAACGTTGAGAAAACTAAAAAATTCCCGTTACTTCCGAAAATACTGCAAAAACCCGAAATTTTCCGATTTTCCTTTTTTTTCTGGTATTATTTAAAAAGATAAGGTAAATAAAGGTAATTTTCTCGCTGCCACTTTTTGAGCTCTACAAGATGGCGTTGAGAGATTTTAAGTATGACATTTCGTTTTGGCCACATCGAAATATCGTCCTTAAACTCTCCCAAGGCTATCTTGTGGAACTAAAAATTGGCAACGAGATAGTGACTGATATTTTTCATATCTCCTTAAACAACACTAAAAAATAATAACGATAACGGAATTTTAGTTTTCTTTGGCGTATCTCAACAGCACGTTAACCTTTTAATTTTTGCAACTTTTTTCGAATTTAACCATTTTCGTATCTCTAATGGTTTTTAATATCCCCATGATAGACATCCTTATCATGAACACATTATATATTAGGCCGATATTTTGGATGCAACTTATTACAGTGTGAACAAAAATGAAGTACAGAAACTAAATTTGAAAAAACGTAAAAAGTCTGCTTTTTAAAACGGAAACCCCCTATTTTTATAATCCTATCCGATTTGCCATTGAAAATTAAGGTGCCTTTATATAAAGTTGTCTATTCCGGAACTTTCTAGCTTCCAAAATAATTGACCATTTAACATCTTTCTGTTTTAAAAATGGTATAACACGGCCGTCTAGTTTTCTTATTAGTTGGCCATGACAGCGGAACGAGCACGAAAAGCAAATAATTCAACAGGATCGAAACGTCACTTTACAAAACATAACCTACATTTTCCCAGCCTATATTCTACTATAATCTACTAACAATAAGCCAAAAAATAAATAAAGTCCTTTGTTGGAAGCTTCAGAAAACTATTGCTTAGAATTAAACTATACAAAAAGTCAGTTATTGTTTGGGAGCACAGATTTAACAACACAATGTTCAACACAATTCAAAAATTGTAGGAACAAAAAATTGGATTTTTCCAAATATAAATTCGGATCTGGTAATGGACGACGAGTTAAATTTACAAATCATATTGACAATTGTATTAATGAAGCCTTTACCAATCTTAAACTTGTATCTAGGGATTTTATTTTTATTAAATATTAAATATTAAAAATTAAAAAAATGTTATACGAAAGCTTGGTTCTGTTATAGTTTACGTTTGATGTGAAACATATTTAGCACATAAAAAAAACTTTTTTCATAGTCTAATACTTTAATAAACCTCATCGCTATATATATCAAAGAATAAAATTAATATAATAAAATCATAAAAAATAAAATTTAGGCATGATGCTCCTAATGTGGGATTTAAGACATGCACATCGTCCTTGCACAAAACGGCACTATATGAAATACTATAACTAAATGATATTGCTCTTTTAACAAAGGATCGAGTAGCTTTAAATGTATCTACTATAACTTTAATAAGAAGCTTTGTAAGATGGTCGCGTCACACTTGTAAGGTATATTTTTATGCTTTGTCTTCAAAGGTTGCCTTTTAAAGTATTTTATGTTTGCCTTTGGTGCTTTCTAATGCTTATGCAGCAACATTAAATACCGTTTTATTAAGGAAAGAAAAGTGTACGCAATTTTCGCGATGTCTCAGAAATGTGCGGTTTGCTAATATGATACGATCATATTGACTATTTAAATCATTAATTGCCAAATAAATACTATGTATGACCTTTAGATCCCTTTACTGTACCGTGTGGGTTCGGAGCCTGTTATTCTTTTGGTTGTCGCAACTTCGTAATCTGGTTGAATCAGAATCAAAGACAGGAAGCGATATTAAAACCCGTGTATCGAACAATACTGCACTGAAGAACATTTGAACAAATTTATGCATAATTTTACGACGCAAGGACGTGTCCGAAAATTAGGTGAGTATATAAGCTCCTAGCCAGGACGTGTTTGCTATCAGTCGATCTGTTTAAGAGCAGAGAAACCAAGCAAGAAACCAACAATGAATTCCTACGTAAGTTTCAGCGTTACTTATTTGTTGTTGTTAGTTAAAGCCTCTCGTTTGATTCGTTGTTTTTATTTTAACGCAAACACTCGGTGAAATATTTTGGGAAATTTTATTTTTCTGAATGCAAATATTTCTATAAACTCCATACTTCTCTGGCGACTATTTTTCTTTCGATGTATTGTATATTAAGTTTTTTCAAAATTTTTGTTATACTCTAGGTTGTAAATAGTAACCGGTAACTACGAATTAAGGTGTCGAAAATTAATATTACTTTTAAATTAAGTTTGATGTGGTTTTAATCGATTTTAAATTCTTTCTTTCGTTAAAGGCTTGAAAATAATTTCACTTGTTACTAGACAAATTCAGGGCTATGGGATCAAATATTTAGGACACATTTGTAGTTTTTTTGATTTTTGATTAGTTAATTGTATACCAATCTAGCAAAAAAAAGGAAAGCGCTCTAGATTTTCGTACGATTATCAGATGTATCTTTTAGTTGATTAAAAATTCTACTGAATATTTAACAGAGCAACTATTACCGATAAATTCTTTCTGATTTGCGAAATAATTTTTTGCAGACAGAATGTAATTTGCTTTTCGTTAAAACAAGTACGATTTATAGATTAGTATTTAAATATGTCTTACTATTAAAGGAAAGGGGGCTTCAAGTCTTAGGAAAAACGATATTTACAGATTTTAAAGGAAAATATCGACTATTTTTCGCAAACTAAATTTATTTCTTATTTCCAGTTCAAATTGAAACAATGTTTCTCTTTTTTCTCACTAGAACGGACATCAATCAAAAACACTCCTCGAATTCAAACGTCCTCGTAGGACTTTCTCTTACATACAAACTAACCTAACTTTTTGCCCCAAATTCGAAAATTCCATATTTCGCGGACATTTTTAGGCCTTAGTCGCATTTTTCGCATTCGCCGCCGTTGCCAATGCAGGCATCCTAGCGCCCGCCGCCAGGATTATTCAAGGACCGAGCAGCAGGACTACCGTTGTAGGTCCTGATGGCAGTGCTATTTCGTCCGTGGCACCGGCGGGCCAGATCGTTCACGAAGAGAGCGTGGGAGTCGTTGCAGAAACCGCTCCAGTAGTTGCCGGCGCACCAGTATTATCCGCTTACTCCGCCCCCGTAGTATCGGCGCCCGTCGTATCTGCTTATTCCGCCCCTGTCGTATCTGCGTACTCCGCCCCTGTGGTATCAGCTCCGGTAGTGTCGGCATACTCCGCGCCATTGGTTTCAGCTCCAGCTGCCTCCCTGTTGTCGGCTGATACTGTGGTCGCTGGTCCTTCTGGGACGGTGGTAGCCGGTAGATCTGTAGCAACACCCGTTGTAGCTTGGTAATTTGGAGAGGGTTTCTATGTAGAATAAATTCCTTCTGTCTGAAAACTTTATGTTTTATTTGACTGAATATCGTATAGAATTAAAAAAAAGTCAGAGCACCGCCTTACATGAGCTGGGTCAAGATAATTCAAATTAATAACCAAACTATCTTAATCTCAAAAACTTAGGTATTATACTTGATAATTGATAGTCTTTAGATAATTACGTCAAAAAAAATTGACACGCCTGTGATTACACGTTATAAATAAGATAAAGAACTATTCACCTCCAAAACGAAAAAATTTTAGTTGCTTATTTGATTATGGTGACAACTCGCTGTCACAAGCGGCAAAATGGCTGTATGAGGCTTTCATATTGAGTACTATTTCGAAACCACATTGCTCCATATTTCAGGCATCACAAAGTATCACATGTCTAATTTTACATACAAATTATTAAAGAGTGTTATCTAAAACGCGTATGACAAGAGCTACTGAAGTTTTTGACGTGCCAGACGCAGAACGCAGCCTAGCGAAAATCTTTTTTCTACTCCCGTCTGTAAAATACCTAATAACACACCGACCTAGCGTGCGGGAAGCGCCACTTTACCACATCAGTTTCGTTTTCCACGGATGCGAGCCACTTCGGACATTTCCGGGATTTTACCGCATGGGTTTGGGAGCAAGCGGATGTGTTCGGAGATTTTATCCCACGGTTTGAATTTTGACAATTCTAACTGTCATGTCAGTGAATCTATTTGTGTTGTTTCGCAAAAATGTACCGAAAAACTAATACGGAAAAAAATGTTATGCAGTATATGGGACAATTTATATACTACGTGCTATAAGCTACAATGAAAATCTAGTAGACTAGTCGGTAAGTAAAGCGACATTTATAATTTAAGGTTTCCCACAGAAGTTTTACATACCGTTCGCATGAACTTTAGTGGTTTTTACAGTTTTTATATTAATATCTTGTCAATACCAATGGTATCATTTTCAAACATTCATGTCTCATCAGTACAAACAAAACAAAATTGATGGGTAGGACCTGCTTTTTCTTGCTTATACAATCTCAAAAATATAATCCTCCTAAAAGCTCTTTCCTTGGAAGATTTTTCTTCCAATTACAGTGTTTTTCTTTAAATGAACTACTTCTCTCTCTCTCTCCCTCTCTCTCGTTTGCCGCACTTGTTGCTTAATATACTATTAAAATGTGACCCGTTAAATGGTTTGCGAAAAAAAAAAAAGTGGTCTAATAGCTTTAATTTTTTTAATTCCACACCACACATTACGTGAAGAATGGTTTTGGTTTTGCACTTCCCGTACACAGAATCGATTAACTCTTGAATAATAATGCATGTTATGACGATTAATTGAACCATTACTGTGAAAAGTAGCTTACTCGGAACATTATCGGGAAATGTTATCGGTTTTTCAATCGGGTGGAAGTCCTTTTCTGTCCATTACTTGAAAAAGAAAGTTTGTAAATGACTGTTATACTGACAAAATAAATGATTTAATTTTTCTAAACCGATAGCGACACTAAACTGCTCAATTTTAAATAATTGTTTAATTAATATCTAGAAATGCAAATCTCAATACAAAATTCGCAAACCAACAACAAACCACCAAGTTTGACATCCAAATTCAAACTGTTTAAAAATGCTCTAATGGTGCTGCCCGGAAATATTAAAAATAATTCAGTCGTAAATTTGGTGCAAAGTTGGTGTTTTATAACAATAGACATCTTCTTTTATTATTGACCTATTTCTTTATTTATTTGCAGTTCCATTAGTGGATCACAAACAAACGAAAAATAAACGAAAATGAATTAATTCATTAATTAAGTAATTAATTAATTAATAGCTGCAAACCAAAGTAAGAAAGAAACGTGGATTTTTCTTCATTAAATGATATTTTATTATCAATAACTTATTCAATTAAATTAAAATAAATACAAAAAGTTGTATACAAAAGGTGTAAGTCTTATTATGTTCAATTACAATTAAAATATAAAATCCTCTGCGAATAGCTCGCACTCAGATTTCTGAAGGGCACGAAGGAGGTCATTAATTAAACAGACACGGAACAGTGGACCCAGATCCAATCCTTGCGAAACTCCCGAAAATGAAATAAGCTTGTAATATTCTACACCGTTGACCACAATAGCTACCCATTAATATAAAAACTATAAACAATCAAACATTTCGACGTTGAGAACATTTTACTTTTCAAATTATTTTTGAGGCTTTGACCACGAAGTGTGTTTGAATCTTTTTTGTTTTGTGTCTCAAAAGTTTATTTTTAAAATTATATTTGAGACCTTGATCTCGGAGCGTGTTTTAATGTTTATAGTTTGTGCCTCAAAAATTTATTTCCAAAATTATTTTTAAGACCTTAACTTCGGAGTGTGCGTCAATCTTTATATTTTTGTGTCTCAAAAATTAATTTTTGAAACCTTGACATGACTTCAGAGTGTATTTGATCTTTATAGTATTGTGAAACCAGATCTATTCGAGTGATTTTTTTTATTTTATACATTAATATCTCTTGTCCGAAAGATCCACTTATCCTCATAAGATCGTTAGAAAAGCCAAAGGCATCCAGTTTTCTCAAGAGAAAATCATGATCTTCCCTTTAAACGCCTTTGAGAAATATATCAATATGTTACGTAAATCATGTTGATTATATGAAATTTGTCTATTTGAATAAAATTCATTGAAATAATTTGACTAGGTACACAACCAGATCTATAGTTGTCCATAAATTAATGCGCCGCAGGCGCCATTGATATTTACATAGAAAAGGGAATGATTTTTCGCGCATACCTCCACATTTTATCCACTAACCTACACTTTGGCGCCATTTTCCCTTTAAACAGCGACTTCCACACACTTAATTCGTTTTCCCAAAAACATTCTACGAGATCTAGGCATATTTTTAGAAAATTCTACCCTAGAAATGCCGCATCCAAATTTATTGACGATCTATCAGAGGCCATATGGATTGTTTAATACCGCAAGATCGTTGCTTAAAAACGAGATTTTAAATCCCTCGGCATGCTCATGTTGAATGGAACTTCTCATTTTTTTTTCATGATTGCTTCATTCGTTTTATCGGCATAAGCAGGGTCTCTATATCTGTAATAGCCATATGGTTGTTAATACCCTATTTTTCCCCAGATGCTAGAATATTAATACTTTTCAAAATTTGGTTTAAAATCGGGGCCCATTCTGGGATTCATTTGTTTTGTAGAATCTGAAATATCTTTGTTTGAGACATATTTACCAAGTTAGCATTATACTATTTTATTAATTAATTCTACTATAACTATAAGAAGATTTGGTATTCAAATAAACACTTTGTAATTGTTTGCTACATTACTATGTCCGTGAATTTGTTCTCCCTTAAGAAACAGCGGTATGAAGTTGTTTAGACCCAGAGCCGTTATTGTTAGCATAGTGCTAGAAGCAATCATGAAAAAAAATTGAAAAGGTCCATTAAACAGCAGCAGAGTCGGTCTGAATCCACTGCTGCTCCACGCATTGAATATATTGGACACGAACTAATCGAAGCTAATCTAATTTTTGAACATAAATGGGGATAGTTCGCTCAGTTAAATTTACTGCTCCTATCTTTCCTCTATATATCGCACCTTTCTGATATTATATATTAAAGCTATTTCCACAGACTTTTTTGAATATTATATACAAATTTTTTGTTGTTGTTTGCTATTTCGATAATGGAATCATAGGTTTTATTTCAAAGCTAATTTATTTTAAAGAACATCACTGGAATCTGGAAGGTGATTATTTATTCTAACTTCTTAGTAGATGAATATCAGAACTGCTTGAGTTCTGTTGTCATTAACTACAGCCGCCATTTAGGGCCACTCGCATTGGCATTTCTAGAATTGTGACTGATGTATAATGATATAACTGTTTTTTTGTACAATTTTTCAAAGAAACTTCCGCAGGCTACTGAAATACTATTTGCAAATCTTCAGGCCAATTATCCTCTTGGCTTCTTGAGAGCTTAACTCTGCAGGAGGAAGCCAAATGGTTTGTAAGTAGCATATTTTCAGAATATTATAGAGAAGGTGGCAGTCACTCGTAACAGGAGTTAATTCGCAAAGCGACATCCAGAACAGCAACAGCAAAAAAGATTTCTTTCAATTTAGTGTGGGACTTTTAATTAACAGTTTCGCCCTAAGTTCCACCCAATTAACTTGTAATTACAACGTCTCACGATCATCCGAGATTCCGCCGGATTAGCGAATCAAGATTGATGTAAGTACCAACGAAGATTAATTGATATCATCGCCGCAGACATCATTCAAAAGGGCTTAGTGTCGCAGACGGCATTGCCTGCAGGTGTCGCCAGATGAATCTAATTATAATTGGGTAATTTCGCAAGGATTTTTCCTTATCTAGTTACGAACTGAAACAGTCCTCACCGAACCCCGTGTATTTTAATCCGACTATTCTTGCAAAGGTAACCGAGGTATCGTAAAACATATTCTTAATATTGGGGCGGAGTGAAGTCATAGTTTATGTTGGGTGCCAGTTTTAACCATTCCATCAATAACACAGGTCCATAGTGATTTTGATGTTTGGAAGCTGTACGCCGTATTTTAAAAATGTTAATTTATTAATATACACACATGAATATGTTTGTCCCATCTTAGGCATTATTTTTAAATGAATTGAATTATTTATAATTACATGTGCTTTGGCAACACTGGATAATATTGGATGTCTGTTCAAAGCAACAGAGTTGGCGCAGAACCGTCAATACAGAGTTGTGCTCAGTTTGGTTAGTTTTGGTCATCGTGTTCCTGTGTTCGGGGCTGTTATCTTCGTTGCTGCGTATTTCTAGTGTTCTAGAACTTATAAATATGGAAAGAGGACATAACTTTTGTTATATCTGTGGTAGTTATGTCGTAGTAAAGCAAACTATAACTTCTTTTGTGAAAAAGGTAGGAAGGAATGTCTAAGCTTTGGTATTCCTATGCTATGGTGACAGCCTAGGAATCATCATTGTTATTTTTTTATTCTCGACTCTGCGATTCCGGCAGTTCCTCATGGTCTAAATGGGCAGACACCTACGGCCCCTAATTCCCAGATGACTCAGATTTCACACCAGATTTCAGAGAGCCCGAAGTGTTTCACCAGAGCGAATGAAATAATTTAATTACAGATTTGGACCTTCCAGTTCAGAGTACGTGACAAGCATTTACTGGCACCTTTCGTCACGTCTTTCACCGAGATCGCGAAAAAGAGTTATGTCAATATATTACTCAGGAAGGACCGCTAGCGTATTGCAACAATATACCTGACTTAGTTACAAAATTAGGAAATGTGCCGTGTATAAAAGAGGAATGGCGCCCGTTTATTGACTCAGGGAACGCGTAGTTTAAAAGGCGTTTTATTGGAAAATCGCAAGGACCTGGCCTGGGTTTCCGTTACATATTTCGGACTTCTATTGAAGAAAATAATCTATCAAGAACATCAGTGGATGCTTTGTGGTGACCTTAAAGTGCCGTGCATGCCCCTAGGACAGATAGTCGGGCAAGAGATACATATTGGATTCAAATGGAGTGGCCCTCTTGAACAAGTGTTACATCTGCTGGCAAAAATGTATTTAGAGATAAGTTTGTTGGCCCCAGAAAAGGTTTACTGCCTCCTCTTCATTTGAAACTTGGCTCGATGAAGCAGTTTGTTAACGCCCTTGACAGATAAAGACAGTGTTTCAAATATTTGTGCGAGCAATTTCCAGCCTATTCTGATGCCAAAATAAAAAAAGGTATTTTTGCTAGGCTGCAGATAAGAACATTGTACAAAGACACAATGACCAATGTCAATGTTCATTTAAAGAAATAATTCTTAAGTTTCTTGGTAACTCTAACGGCGAAAACTACGAAAGTATTGTTCACTTTCATTGTCAAGGTGCTGTTTTCACATTTGAAGAAAAATTTTCCTGAAAATCTTGGAGCAATTAGCGAAGAACAGGGGAGAAATGGAACAACCATACCAAGCCAGATATAGCATATATGCATATATAGCATAACACACAATTCGAATATCCGCACATCTCAACTTTCTGGCAAAAAGACGCAGATTTCACTTAAAGAAGTTATTTTAGAAAGAAGAACTAGACAGTTTAATATAAGGAGTGTGGACATTGTTATTGGCAACGCAACGAAACAATCACAATGATTTATAATGGATTGTATTTTTTTTTTGAAAAGACATTTCTATGGTAAATCCCCAAATTTAAAAATTATAATCGGAACTGTACCGGTTTCGATCCGAACCTTAAAGTTTAAACCTTTAGGGAATCAAGCTACGTTACAAGTTTCTGGCAACACCCTTGATAACTTATTTATAAGTTATCGGATCCCATTAAGTCGATCAAAATATAAATTTCTCAAAACCGACCCCAACTTTCAATAGATATTTAGCTTTTCCATTTGAATTGAATCAAAAAAAGTCGGGTTATTTTCGAGTTTTTGCAAATTACGATCGACCTGTGAAATTCAAAATGGATGCGTTCACATTAATAGAGTAATTAATTACAACAATTAGTAAACAAGGTTAATAGATTTTCGGTGTACCTACAAGGAAAAGTATTGATCAATTATTTCTGGAAATTTTTACTCGTCCATAACGCGATGGTTACACTCAGTGAAATGTGTCCAAAAATATATTATTTCGCGGTAAGTGGCTATAATATTTTTCGAATATCTTTGTTATAACAATTTTTTACTGTTTTAAGCTATTCAAATTGTCAATATAAGAGGCGTTACGCACATTTAGCAAATTAGCGATTATTTAGTCAATTTTAAGATTAAGTTCAGGTTGCATAAAAAAATTCTGATCTTAAGTTCACCTCCGATCAAATTATGAACTACGTTCACATCCCTTCATGTTCCTCGATGTAAATTGAATTTAAAAAGACAAAGGCTTCAATTTTTTGCACACTTAATTTTTTCCTAATGCTAATTTAGGGACTCTAGGCTTTAAAACCCCAAACACTGCTTGTCTATTGGATTTCTCGTACCTAATAGCAGACTTTCATGTACCTGGAGATCGACAGATAATGTCTCAAATTTTTAATTGATCATAAACTGTTTGCACATTAAAAAAATACCATTTCAGGTTTCTGGAAAACGGTTTATGTTAAAAATGCCTGTCGAACACTATCGATGTTTTTCTAGGGTAATTATATATAAGTTTCATGTATGCCTGAAATTGTTCATAATATTTTATTAATGGCTCTGTTGGCTGTTCATTTTGTTAGACGAAATCCTCGTTAAGTTTCGCGCATTTCATGGAGTTGAATAAATAAAAATGTAATGACATCAAGCATCGAATAAAAACCAAAAATTGTAAGGTAAGAAAAGAATTTCGATGAAGTGTTCAACAACATAAATTTCCGAAGCCGGATGTTCGCTTGAAAGCGACCATCAAAGCCCTAAAAGTTAATATCAATATAAATTCACAATACCTTTTGTAATAATAAGTACAATACAAGAAAAAATATTTTATTAGAAATCGTGTTGGTGGAATTGACAAAATAATAATAAAAGAAAGTGGAAAAAAATCATGAAATGTAAAAGTTTTAATTTTTACTTAAAATCAAGCAAGTTCGATAAGAGGTGAAGCAAAAAGGTACAGTACAAATCAAAAACTAACAAAACTAACCAAAATGAAATTGGAATTTCGTATGCCATAAAAACTCCCAAGTACGAGTTTTGCTTTTGTTTTTGTTAACGTTTCGCCAATCATCCTGTTGGTTTCTTCAGAGCATAATTGAGACTGAAGAACCAACAGGATGATTGACGAAACTTTGACAAGTTCGATTCGAATCCAGAAGTTTTGTAAATAGGATTACAGTAGCCTGTGGAACTTTTTTCGAAAAATTCGTTTAATTAAATTACAACTGAACTCATTAAACTCATACTTTATATACTTTAGTCATGTTGATGGTGAATATTTTTCCGAATAAATTTTAGTTAGGTAATTTATTTAATTCGCATTATGCGAAACTTCAGGAGATGGAAAAAAGAGCAGGAGTAAACCAAAACATATTTAGAGTATAATTATTTAGTTAATAAGTTATATTCGATTATTACAACTTAATTAAATAATGATCCCATCAAACTTTATAAGAAACCTACAAATATAGTGTTTTAATTACAATTACTTTTTGATTCATTTAATTTTTCACTTTTCCCTCACTATTTTTAAATTTTTAGTTGGGCAGAGAATCACCACAAAAAATACTAATAAATTGAACTTTAAATCCCCGAACTCAGATATTTTTCGTCACTTCGTCGGTTTGGGCGGCTCCTGCAGATCCTGCAGTGATGAAAAACCCTTTAGAGGGAAGCGGCCAAAGCTCTGTCGCCTTAGTTCCAAATGGTAACAATGACGCTCCAGGTCAGCAGACGATTCCCGCTGTTCTGTCAAATATACCGATGGCTGGAACGTATCTCTTCCCTGCGTCCGATCATCATTCGCTCCCGACCAATCCCGTGGATACCTTGGTGGTTGGTCCTTCGGGGATAATCGCTACGGGAAGAGCTTTGGATTCACTGGCCAAAAGTGGGGGAAACTTGACGCCGTTTCTGCCGGGTCAGACTGCCCTCACTCGTGGAAATGACGACCAGAAATCCGTTCAGGCCTGACAATGGCGTGGGATTCATCGTAATAAATTAAATTTAGTGCCATAGTTTACGGATATCTTTAAATTGATTTACTACTAAACCAACTTGCACATTTTTGCTTTATCTTGTTTATGTTATAAGATATTTCAAATATAAAGTCCATAAAAGAATGAAATAAGCCTAGTGTCATTTAAATGCATAAAATTTTCAAAATGTATTCATTGAAATGTATAAATATGCACACATGCATTTTTATTATATGAAAAATTGTTAACATTAATGTTATTTTAAATAGAACCAGAACTATTGCTTTAGATATCCTCTAATTTTTTACCAATACCACAGGCGTATTTGAATAAATAAATAAAACAAAAGGAATAATAATAAGATAGATACACACATTAATACTTACATAGAAAATTGCAAAACGTAAAATTTAAAACATAAAAATCAGTGAAAAAATATTATTTGCGATTGTAAAGAAATTGTAATGCAATTAATAATACAACAATACAATTGGTAATTAAATGGTCTTTAAACATATGTTTAAAAATCAATACCCATAGAAGTTACACTGTACTGTACGAGGGTGGGTTGAAAAGATTCTGGTCTCACCAAGATAAACGATGTTTTTAATTTTTTTTTTGTTTTACTTTTCAACCTAATCTCCATCAACAATGGTATACATTTCTCATTACGGTGTTTTAATTTAGTTATACCAATTTGACACGTAGATTTTTCAAACTCTGATACTGATTTACAGCTTCGATAACTTTTTCGTTGTTCTTAAATATTTTACCGCCAAGCCATTTTTTGACGTTAGCAAACAGGTAATAGTAGCTTATGGCTGCGTCTGGAGAGTAGGGATTTTGGACATGGCAACATTCGATGAATGTGCTGGGCGTTATCGTGATGAAACAAAGTTTTTTTCTTCGCCAAATGACGTCGTGCTTCAAACGTTTCAATAATTCTGAGTAGTATTGACCAGTCTGATAGTCTTACCCTCTTCGAGGTAATCAATGTATATAATTCCTCTCACATCCCGAAAAACAGTACCCATAACCCAGTTTGCCGATCAAACCGTGTTAGCCTTCTTTGGAGTTGGTTATGCTTTTGCAACCCAGTGCTTTGACCGTTCCTTATTTTCGGGAGTATAGTGATGGATCCACCACAGATCCACCTTGCACACAGCTTTTCCGTACTTAAATGGTTATGCAAAATATTTCGCACACGTTCAGCTGACATCCTATAGGTCTCAGCTCGTGCAATTTCAACCAGCTGACTTCCAACTCTGCTTGATGGATTTTCTAAACCATTTTTGTAGTTGTGACCTTCCTAAGCGATGTTCGTCAGAGGTGCTCACACGACCCATTTAAATTCTCAAACCCATCAATTCTTTAATTTTTTTTTTGGTGCAAAACTTTTCAAATGGAAGGCTTTGATAAGAGCCCGCTTTTCCAGTGTTCCCATTTTCACGAAAACAACGGAAGCCGCCCCAAAAGTAGACCTCTTGGTGTGGCCAGATTCTTTTCGCTCCACCGTCGTATTTTAGTTTTGCAATTAAGTGTGTTTCTAATTTGTACAAATTCAGTTCTCTTTCGAAATTGGTGAAATTGCCTATAAAAACTACTGAAATATTTTTTAGGATTAGGATAAACTGTTTGAAACAAACCTGAAACTTTTTGCAATCTACCTCAAATTGATTTGTTAAGGTCACTGAATCTGTCATAGAAACAACTTCCTGAGTCCTATAGGTACAAAAGGAAAATTTACTTTTATGAATATTAAATTTTCTTTCACTGTTGGGCAAAAGACTTTTTGCATTTATTAGCGGAACAGAAGATGAGTTGTTCTCGGCATAAAATATAGGAGGGGATAGCCAAGTTCCTCAGTGAGTTATTATTGGTTGTGGGGGTAATTGAGTATTTGGACAATTTTCCTTATCAAATGGGACACTTGAAACACTTTTTTTACTAGATTAATTAAATCATTTACCAATGAAAACTGGTCTCTTATACATTTTGCCACCTTTTTGATATCGCGAGCCAAAGAAGTAACATGAAATAGGTTAGAATAAAGTATTTTTAAATTTAGTGCCGTCTTAACACTGTTGGGTTTGTCCTGGGTAATTCTATGAATCTATTCATAGATACGAAAGCAGTGCCGTACCTGAGTCGGTCCCATTGTAATGTAATAAACTGACAAATACGTACTATGTCGAAAAGGGCTGGTCAGGATGTTTATTTAGCAATAAAATGCATTAAATTCCCGGTTATTGGAAAAATTGCATGTTTTGTACAAAACAGACAAAAAATACAAATGTTGCAAAAAAATGCATCTTGCATTTTCTCCACTTCTTCAAAGAACAAGTTCAAAGAAATTTTACCAGTTCATTTAAGAAACATTTCGTCACTGAAGCTTTCTTAGATAGGTATACTTCGACCAGAATTATAGTGCTTTTACAACGGACCCCATAATTAACCTTGCCTACTCTTTGTTACTCCAAAACCGCAGCCCCTTATGGAACACCCTGCCGAGCACACCCTTACCCATAAACATTCCAGGGCCGTCCTAGGAATTTATCTAACTACACTAACAAGCAAAATATAAGTATGTTTTCAGCCGTTTTCGTCGAGCAATTCTTAAAAAAATTGGTACAATTAGTACAAGTAATAATTTATTACGTTCTATATCACTTGCTCTTATTGCTGCTGCTACTTCCCCCTCCGAATTTCTTATAAAATTGTAAACATTGAAAACAATTTGTTTAGCATTCGAAAACAAATGGATACGTTTTTTTATTTGCTGAGGTAGTTCGTCGTCTAAATTTTCATTAGGTTCGACTAGTACTTCGTCTGAGTTGTTTTCCATGTCAGGGGAACATCTGTTTGATTCCACGATCTCCACATTTTAAAGTGTTAAAAAACCGGAACGTTAAAAAAATGTTTAATTGTAAGATTTTAAAAAATATTTATCTGTATTCCTATGGCATATCTTTATCTACCACGACAATAATCTATAGCCTTTAAAAAGACTGTTGTTTACAAATCGAAGAACTATGTAGAAGACACAAAAACACAAGAAGAAGAATGTTGCTAGGTACTTACCCCTATTCTCTGACCTATCCAGTGAAATATAAGAATGATACATATCATCAAATAAACACTCCTACTTATTGGAAATTATCCCGCAGCATCGATGCTTAATCAAATTTAAAACGCTCCATTTACGTTTCAAATAAAATTTTCAAGTTTCTACAAATATTCGTTACGGTCCATCTCAACCAGGACCTTCTTAATGCAGAATAAATATCTGTTGGGATGCATTTTACCATCTGCGAAGGTCTGCTGTTAAGGTATTGTAAAATACATAAAACGTCTAAGCAATAAATGCACTACATTTTTGGTCGTACAATAACAATTTTCGGATCCTTCTTTCAATTGTGGAAATTGGATTTTTCTCCATGTGACATGTAGAAATAATATTAAAACCTTAAAGCGTTTGTCCAATAAGTTGATCAGATCTAGGCGGTATAAGATTAAAATGTTATTTTAAGTAACGCCTATCGTTTATTCAAACTGAAACGGTTGCGTTTATCAATCAAAATTTGAAGATCTTTGTCTCGCTAGTTGCCGTGACTTTTCGCAAACCAGTAAATCGGAGTTTCCTGTTTGGGAGTGGCCATGGGCTCGGCACCAGTTTATGTTAAAGCTTTAGTACCATTGTTTTCTGACTTTTTCTTGTCTGTTATCTATATCAGAAATTTGTGTATGACGCAATTTAGTGTAAGTTTGTGTAAAGTAAAAAGATGTAAATTTTACTTAAAAGTATATAACATGATTTGTTGCAATATTTACTATAATTTTTTTTTAATATAAAATTCGTGCATTGTAGTCCGGGAGCCCTGGAGGTTCTTTAAGATGAGCGGTTTAATTTTATTAAGATGTCTAACTTTTTCTTATACGAAATTTGCTATATCAGATAACTAACAAAATGGACAATTATTAAATCATTTCAATTTAGTGACCATGCAAAAATGATCAGGCACAGTTTGGTTTTTTGCTAAATCTTGAGATAATTAAAATATATAATTGGAAATTACATTTGTCCTACAAAAGATAGGTTGGGTGAACCTCACAGTAATATGTTATTTATCATCAACTTTTAACTGTAGGATTTACAGAAGAATGTTACAATGTTTATTTATAAAAATTGTTAGCAAGTTACAGGTATAGTAACTTGCTAACAATAGTAATAGGTAACTATTCTGCAGTATCTAAATACCATTAGATCCGAAAGATCCTCTCCAAAGAGGTCTCCTCCACTAGCTGTGGTTTTCGAACTTTTTTTAAAAATTTTCCTAATGCTATAGGCAAGTGTTTTACTAATGTGAATTGTAACTCTTTTTGATTTTGAGCACCAGCATTATTATTCAGATCATCAAATTGTCTCATATCTTGTAAGCCATTTATCCACGCTCCAACGTTAAAATCGAGATTTATGCCTTAAAAAAATTCAAAACTTTATTCGATGATTTTGATGACGCGTCCCACGTGAAATGGCAAAGAACGCGATTTCCATTTTTCACGCATAAAATACAAATTGCAAACAATATTTGAAGAATAACGATGTTCAATGAGCAGAGCGTAATAAGATGGCGACAGTGGATCACATCTTAGTGTGACGGTGTTGTCATTCCTCTTCGAAAGGAAAATAAAAGCGTTACTTTATCGGATCTATTCGTTCGCCCAGCATGTAAAATGCGCAAAACAACAACAATTTTATTTAATGGGCACTCGCTTAACGTTTTTTCCACGTTTTTCTCACTCGAATGTAAATAAACGCTGTCCATTATACATTATAATTAGAAATATTTTAACCGTAAAATGCTGAACAACAAAATACAAACAAAATATTAAGATTTAACTTAAGTCACATAAATAATATATTTTCATGTTATTGAAATTGTTCTCTAATTTTATTATTGCACCAAGTAAAAAAAAATAAAATTTTTGCCAAGAATATTTCTTAAATTTTAAACATTAAACACTCTCTAAATCATTAAGGAGCCTCATTTTATAAAAGCGATTTGGGTTAACCTGTAAGGCACGTCATTGATTAATACAAGTTTTGGCAATGAATTTCATCTATTTCTTATGATCAATATATAAATAAACTACTCTATGTATATTACTATAATAATAATAACAATAACACCAATGTTAATAATGTTCCTTACTGCCGATAAATTCATAATATGACAGCAAAGTTGCACCGGCACATGTAGCCACTCCAAAAAATATAAGATTAAAATACATTAAATTATTAACAACACATTTAAAATAGCTTTGAGAATCAAACTTAAAAGTATAGAAATATTGTGTGCGCAAAACGTCTTCTATAAAAATGCCTTAAAGTTCCTCGTTCACAGAGAGTCGTAGTTTTCAAATAAATTCCCACAGGCTACTAATAATATTTACAAATCTTCTAGATTGATCGCGCGTCCGTTATTGATCCCTCCTTTAGTTCCGCCCTCCTCAAGTATATAGGTAACCGTCAACAATTTCGAAGTGTAGGATTTTATATGAAAATGCTCAATTTAACTCTATGGCTTGTCAAAATTTCCATCCTACTGCCCTATAAATCTGTTGAATTTTAATTTGAATAATTGAATTTAAAATTAAGATTGAATTATGACGGTCTTGTCAGACGTGACTAAGTGAATGTATTCGTGTTGTTTTGCAAAAATGTAACTAAAATCTAAGAGTCGTGAAAAAAGTATAGTATACAACACGTTTGGTAAACTCGACTCAAATGCCGTTTACCATAATATACTACTAATTGCCTCGAGTGAGATGATCTATCTTTTGAGAAGTCCACGCAAATTGCTCAGACTTGAATGCAAACAAAAAATGAAGTTCCAGGAATTTTATATGGTCCGTCATTGAAATAGTTTTTCCAAGTCGAAACAGTAAAGACTGTCCTATTGGGAGTTTTAACAAAGACCATCAATCTCGTTTTCTTGGCATTTTATTTTTACTTTCACTGCAAACACCATACCCACTCGAACATTCCGACAAAACACCACCGAAAATGTCAGACTGCACAACAGATACATTGTTCACAAGGTAACACGCCAAATCCAGTTCACATGCAACACAAATCAAATTTCACGCATATTTCTTGTAGTATACTTTATACCTCTCTCTCACTGTTTATAATTTGCCTTATTTCATGGTCTTTAATTTTCCAAAGAAACTTCGTGGTTTGATACATTTTTGATTTTAATTGTCCCCAAAAGAAAAAATCCAGCAGAGTAATATTTGAAGATCTTGCAGGCCATTCTATTGATCCTTTTCCACCAATCCACTTGTCGAGCAAAATGAGGCCGAGCACGATGATGGAAATAAATCTACACTAAATCTAGAAATAAAACCTAAGCATCTACCAGGAAGCGCGGTAAGAGCATTTATATGATTCGTAAAAGAAACTTTGTTATCAATTATTACTCCAAGGTCCTTAACACTTCACTTACTCTCTCTAAAGAAATGGAATTTATATTTTTTTATTTATTATATTATTATATTCTATTTAAACACAATGGTCTCTACAATTTTTTCCTAAAAATGTGATGCATCTATACCAGACAGGCAGTATGTTAATCAATTTATAGCAAGCATAAACTTATTTACATCAACAACATAGGTCCACAGTGCGATAGACAGATTTGGTTAGTTTTCAACATGATGTCGAGCTCCAATAAAATTTTAATATTTACCTTACCATTTGAAGAAAACGTGGCCTCATGACTAAACAGTATCATCATAGCTTTACAAACCTGTAGTCTGAGGTCGAGATCATCTTCGTTCAGGTCCTGTAGTAACGCAATCTTGGACGGACGATACTTCTTCTTTTAATACAGGCACATTTGTTGGTTGGTTAACATCGTTATTTGAAGCTGCTTGAGAAAATGTCTAATAAAATGTTTAGTCTTGTTTTTTTATTAGTTTTTTGTATTTTGCGTTCTCGTTTTTTTTTTCATATCCAGAAAAAATACAATTTCAATTCTCTTCAATGTAATTGAGGCAATTTACGAATTTTACTGGTACTTCGTACATACCTATTCATTTAAAAATTAAATTTCCGTTTGTAATTCTTTTGTTCATACAAAGTAAGCGATAGGTATATGAAATCCAGAACACTCCAATGGACCGGCCACGTGAGAAGACAGACGACAGATTATCCAGAATTTTGAAGGCACCAACTGGAAAATATCTGGCACTAATAACTGCAAGGAGGTCTCGATGTACTGAAAAAAATGGACAGGTATTGTCAGGTTGGCTAAAACCCAGAGTGTCCAATTTAAAAAAAGGCGCTTAAATAAATTTATTTCATATTGAAGTCGTATGTGATGGCAGAAAATAATGCTAACTCGGTAGATTTAGATACACTTTTGTATGAAACGTCAAGCCCTTCCGATTGAATTAAAATATTTTTGTATTCCAACATTTCGGCGTGAAAATGTAATAAACGGCGAAAAATAGCGGACACGAAAGCTTAATAACATTTAAACATTTCAAAATGCCGACGATGTTAATTCCGCCATTTCGGCTCTCTCTCTCCAATGGGCGAGCCGGAGGGTACCCCCCTCCTCTTTATTAAATTGAACGCGAATTTCGCGGAACGAGACCGGGACGCTTGAAATTTAATAATAGATTTTTCTGTTTTATTTTTCAATTTTAGTACCGAAATAAACAAAAATCGATTACGCTCCCTGGCTCCGGATGTTTGGATAAAATATTAAAAAGGGAATATAAATACGCAAATTCTGAGCGATACTGGGCAATAGTTTTCCGGAAAATTGGTTGGGTTTTTTGAATGAATGTTTTTTCTATTATCCCCTTAGAGAAAAGCATGTTCAATCGCAGAAATATGGAAAAACTGACACTTTGTATCTAATAGCTACGTATTTTTTGATATATTTTTTTCCTCTATCCACCGCAACTGCAATCTTTGGCAACATTTTAGTTTTAGGACGTATGTTACGTTAAATATAGTTTTGTTGAGTTAAAAAGCTTAATTTATTTTAACTAAACTTTTTTTTTTCGAAGCAATTAAAGTCGTAGGCGGTTGGTTACTGAAGTTAGGCGATCAGTGAATGATATTTAATTTATATTATTATTTAAAATTGTCGTGAAATTTAAGAAGTTCTAATGTTTGAATGTATTTTAACAGAAGGTAAAAGACATTGTTTTAATTGATAAAATAGTTCCAAAAAGCAGTAGAACAGGCAGTGCTTAATAAACGAGTGAGATAAAGAGTTTACCAAATGAGTTGCTTATTATACTTTTTCTACAACTGTCACGAAAAAATCATAATTTAACAAATTAAAAATAACAACAGATTTCGTACAACATATTCACACGTTGCCATTAAACCTACTCGTTTATCGTTTCGATCGGTTCTGCTAATCTTGTCTCTTTTTAACTGTGTACATTAGACGGAGAGAGATATATATTACTGGATATGTCATATAAACAACGGAATAAACACCATTTTAAAACGTTATGTTGTTTATTTAACTTTTATAATTAAGTAGTTTATTTGAAGAAAAAGACTGTAATTATGTATGTAAAATAAAGCTTTTAAGATCGTATAATCACGATAAAACAGGTCCGTACCTTAAATTTTGTTTTATTTGTACTGATGAGATATGGATATTTGAAAATGGTACCATTGGTCTTGACAAGATATAAAAACTGTAAAAACCACTAAAGTTCATGCGAACGGTATGTAAATTTTCTGTGGGAAGCTTAAATTATAAACGTCACTTTACTTACCGACTAATTAACTAGATTTTAATTGTAACTTATGGCACGTAGTATTTAAATTGTCTGACATATTGCATAACATTTACTTTTTGGGTACATTTTTGCAAAACAACGCCAATACATTCACAACATGACCGTCAGAATTGACAAAAGTCAAAATTTAAACCCTGCGGTAAAATCTCCGATAACATCCGAATGTCCGAAGTGGCTCGGATCCGTGGGAAACGAAACTGACGTGGTTAAGTGACTCTTCCCGCACGCTAGATCGGTGTGTAATTAGGTATTTTACAGACGGGAGTAGAAAAAAATATACACAATACACATACTTTTAATGTAAAACACATTTCCCCCCACCCACCCACTCGTAAGGAAATAACTATTATTTACCCGTGAATTAGTGCAAATAAGGATTTTTATATTCTTGAAAAAAAATGCAAAAACCCTTAACAAAATTAAGTTTTACCAATGTGAGACTAAAAAATTGATATTGATTTTTGATTTACTTGTTGCTTTAAAGGGTAAATCACTAAATATAGTGATTATAGATAAGATATCTTAAAATTGAACTTTGATAATAGACAGTTGAAGTCAGTGTAACATCAACTCCAAGGTAGCTTTGGCAAACCCTGTAAACTATATATATAATATAATATAATATATATAACCCTGTATGCTATATACAATTCCAACATTAAACTTAAAATAACTAATTTGTTTCCGAAATTAATAAGCAATTCAGACAGTTGTAACACTAATGAGTGTATTTAATCGACTAAAATATACAGTATGGACAAATTTGGATATTTCTATAGCAGATATTGAAGCCAATATGAGCATTCTTTCATTTCTTCAGTAGAACTCAATGGTTAATCAACTAACCAAAACTACCTTCGTTTGTCGGTCTATATCGATAAAGTCGATTTTCATTATTATCGATATCATTTTTAAGTTAAGGACTGAAGAATATTGTAAATATTTTTTTTACTATAAAAAATACTTATTAAATTATTGCTAACTTGCAGGAAGCATTCTTGCGCTATGATTACCATTCAATGTTTCATGGCGCCTATGGATATTGAAATTTCCTATAGAAACGTCTAAATTTTTCGTTCGAACATGAATTTTCAAATCTGTCAATTCTGACTGTTATATCAGACGCACAATTTACTATTCAGTTGCATTTCATATACAACAACGAGGAGCGACGAAATGAAAATCATAAAGCCATCGTCGAAACATTTATTTGCCTACAACGTTACATCAAAATTAAACCCATCAAAGGTAGTATCCTGCTGCGTAGACCTGGGGGGCGGCTACTACTGCTGGCACGGCTTCAGTCTTGCTAGTTGTAATAGTACCCGACGGGCCGGATACGACTGTGTCCAAACTTTTCTGAGCAACGACTCCGTTAGACAACAACGGCGCCGAATACGCTGATACCAACGGAGCTGAGTACGTGGAATACGCTGGAACTATTGGGGCGGAATAAGCGGACACCAATGGGGCGTGGTAACCGGATATGACCGAATGAGCGGCTACCGGAGCCGAATAAGCCAACGCGGGTGCGGAATAAGCTACTGCAGGAGCTGAGTATGCTACGGCTGGAGCTGCTGCCGCCAACACAGGTGCCGAACGAGCTACTACAGCGGGGGTTTCTTCCTGCACAATTTGACCACCTGGAGACGAAGATGTGATGGAACTACCGTCCGGACCTACGACTGTAGTCCTGGTGCTAGGTCCCTGGACGATTTTGGTCGATGGTGCGACCACTACGCCTGCACTGGCAGCGGCTAAGCAGGCGAAAAGGACGATCACCTGCGAGAGAGAGAGAATTCTCTTGATAAAATATAGGGATAAATAAATACACAGGGCTTTTAATAAATTAATGTGGATAAAGCAAACTTAGCTGTTGGGCACTCGAAATGAATGTAACCAAATATTGCGGAATGGATTCAAAGATGCCGCAAAACTAAAACAGTTTTGAGGTGTGCCTTTAATTATTGCTACTTTTGTAGAGAATATTTTTAAAACGTATAATTTTTATTATACAAAATGGTAAACCGTATGGTAAATTTTAAATTAAAATTTACAACAAGTGTGGTAAACGGCATTTGATTCACTAGTTTATTTGACACGAGCGGGGCGCAGCGGAGCGAGTGTTTAATAAACGAGTGATTTAAAAAGTTTCCCAAACGTGTTGCATACTATACTTTTTCTACGACCGCTAGTTTTTGGGTACATTTTCGCCAAACAACACGAATATATGCACTAACATGGTCGTCAGAATTGACAAAACTCCCAAACTCGTGCAGTAAAACCCCGGAAATATCCGTGGGAAATAAAACTGACGTGATAAAGTGACGCTTCCCGCACGCTAGAGAGGTGGGTAATTTAAAAACGATTTTTGATATTTTTACCAGTTTCTGTAACAATTTGATACTTTTTGTTTATTAATTTGGTTTTTTAACTTTGACTTTAACGATTTTGAACTTCTTTCAGTTAATTTCACATACTTCGACAACTCAAAAGTTACGACTGAGTTGGTTATACCTACAAGTTCTTACAAAAAAACTCAAAAATAGGTAAAACAAATTGTATGGTTTTAGTACCTATGCTTCATTAATTTTCGCGCAATATGAAAAGAAAAGAAAAAACTGTCATTTTAGATTTTATTTGATAGCGGTAGCAATAGCGAAAGCGTATAAAGTGGGCCTTTATATAGAGACATCCCTGTCCAAATGGCTTTTTTACTTTTGCAGAGATGTGCTTTTCAAAATGGTGTGCAATTTTTATCTACCCGTTTCGAGTGTCCAGCAATTTAGATTCCAATCTAAACTCTGAGTCCCTTAGGCATAGCACAACAAAATATATGCCTATGCGGATACGTCTAAAGTTACACATCCATTCAAAAAGTATTTTTAAATAATAACGATAGTAATAAGGTTAGTTAAAAATATAAAGATGATTATTACCTTGCTTTATTAATCAAAAAGAAATTAAAAATACAAAATAACCAGTGTTCTGTGAAAGTGGTAAACTATATTTTAAAATTAAAATTATTGCATAAATGTAGAAATTGCATTTTGAAAATCAATTCAATAATATCTATTACTTAATCAAGTTTCTCGTAATAATCTCTTGATTTTTGGAAAGATTAGGATTATACCAAGTTTTGTATCACATTTGTTGCGCAAAGTACCAACTTAACTAGACAATAATTAGCATTGAGTGATCGAAATAAAATACTTATTAGTAGATTTTCCGGTAAATGGGATTTTGCTATTACAATTTTTCCTTTAAAAATATCACAAAATTGTCAAAATTTAATAACGAATTAAAAAAAATTGAATGATTGCTATTGTAATTAAAATTTCCAACTAAAATTTAGTACTCACTTCTCATTTTTAACATCAGCCACTTTGTGCGAGAAAAATCTCAGGCATTTAATGAAATCTTCTCAAATGAATATTCATTTAAAATATATATTATATTTTGTATTATTCACATTTATTTTCAGCAAACTAAAAAATTGCAGACTGATTAAATTGTGAAGTTATAAGCAACATAGTTATTTCAGCAACTTCGAAGCTTTTATTTCAATGATACTCGCTAAACTTAACCCTACTTTCCCGAGTCTAGTAATAAGAACTCATTCAAATATACTTACGACGGAGTTCATGGTGTGTCTGTTTTCGGGTCGGTGAACACAGCGTACTGTGCCCATCTTCTGGTCCAATTCTTTTATACGACGGGGACGTCCTTGCTGTCCGACCCCCAGACTCCGGATTTTCTCCGGATTTTTTCGGAGTCGCGACAATTTTTTCTCTTGTTGTGATTTAGTAGGCGGTTATCGCGAGTTACAGTCTTAAACGAAATTAATAATAAACGACTGCAGTCGAAAAGATTAAACCTCCAAACGCGTTATCGATTTTGTCCCTGCAACGGTCATTTTAATCTTAATGTAGTCTTTATTATAATAATAATATAAAAGAAATCTTTCTAAAAAACGGTAAAACTATAAATTATAAAAATATAAATAAATTCTAAATAATATATACATTTTTTAAAGCGAACTCTTTTTGATTATTATTAATCATTTTATCAATTTTATTTAATTGAAATAACTTTTAAATTATAAATTGTAACGTATTCTCTTTTTCAATTATGTCTTGATGTCGAAATTAAGGAGCGGAAAAGATGCAAGCAAAAAACCCCCTTATATGCTCATTGAAATGCATAAAATTTTGAAATGAACAATAAATTTCTAATATGCACGTTTATCATATGAAAAATTATGAACGTTTTTATATTTTTATATTATAATTAAATCCCTTCTTCAGAAATCGTACAATTTTTTACCTATACCACATACCTATTTGAATAAATATAAATGAAACAAAAAATAATAATATTTTCTTTTCATTCAAGGACACACATTCATACCTACATAGCAAATTGAAAAACATAAAATCTAAAACATTAAAATCTTACAGTAACAAAATACTATATATTATCATTGTTATTAAATTATATTATTACAAAAAAAATGTATAATTTAATTATTAATTCAACAATACCATTGATACATTCCGATAATAGCAACTTTTGCAATTTACAATCCTTAAATTGACAAACTATTCTTTGCAGTTATAAAAACAATTGATAACTAAATGTTTCTCAAAAGTTCCCAAAATAAAATTGTGACTTTTATCTGTAAACATATGTTTAAAAACTTCAATCAAGAATTTTTGGTCACTATTTTAGTTTTGGAATTAACTGTGTTTCTAATTTATACAATTTCAGTTCTCTTTCTAAGTTAGTAAAATTAGTGAAATTTCCTATTAAAATTTCTGAAGTTATATTAAGGATTTTCAAGCTCGTGTTATTTTCAATTACTGACACAAATTTTCTTTCACTGTTGAGTTTTGTATTTACTAGAGCGGCATAAGATTTAGATCTTCAATAATTTTTTAACTAACTCAAATTTCTCGGCATAAAATATAGCATAGCAAAGTTATTACTGATTGTGGTGGTAATTGAGTATTTGGTCAATTTTCCTTACAAAGTAAAACACTCGACGGTTCTTCTGTTTGGAAATAAAATGCAATAAATTCTCTATAACTGGAAATAATGGATGTTTTGCACAAAATGCATTTATGATTGATTATTTATTAATAATAAATAATTCAATCCAATTCAACCGACACGACATTCATATACCGTTGTACTCACGCCATAAAAATTTGACTATCTATATATTGTATGACGTATAGATTTGTAAACAAAAATTTCGAACAAATGTACTTCAGATATTTTTCATTTGCTATTTCTTATTAGCATTCACGACATTCTTGTACTTTACATCCACCACACCCTTTGAAAAATAAAACTAAGTTCACTCGCTTTAAAATTTATTCGAAATAATGGTAGTATCACGCCCGACTGGGTCTAATGGTAAAGATGAGGCTTGTAAGACCCGTCATCGTACAAACTTTCGCTGTGATCGTGGACGTATTGTCCCTCGTGGAGGTCACTGCCGTAGGCAACTACTGGTGCGTGGACCAAGTGTCCCCCTACTACTGATTTACCAGTAGCGATAGTACCCGAAGGTCCGGCTACAATAGTATCAGCTTCACCAGCGTGAGCTACAACTGCCGCTGCGTGAGCTACAACTGGAGCAGCGTGGGCTACAACTGGAGCAGCGTGGGCAACAACTGGAGCAGCATGAGCTAAAACTGGAGCTGCATGTGCTGCTACTGGAGCGGCGTGGGCGACAAAGGGAACGGCGTGAGCTACAACACCTGGATGATCTTCGTGGACGATTTGACCACCTGGAGCAACGGCGGAAATGGCGCTGCCGTCGGGTCCGACTACCGTGGTCTTACTGCTGGGCCCTTGGAGGATTTTCGCCGAAGGACCGACGAGCACACCAGCGTTGACGGTGGCGACGAATGCGACAAACGCGAAAGCGACCTGGAAAGACACAAATAGCAATTAACAGCAATAAAATTGTGGTGGTTAAATAATCGAACGGAAGATAAACTTACTTGGGATTTCATCTTGACGCAGCGATTGTTAGTACGAAATCTGGGCGACTGACGGTTTGAAATCTCGCATTCGATAGTTTTATATATTAGAAGTAACCTTGCCGAATATCAAAAGGCGTCCTCTAAGTCTGACGCGGTTATTATTACAAAATAACAAATTGGGTATACGATTTCCGCGTAACGAAATTTCCTATACGCCATTTGTTTTTGACATGTGATGGAAAATACGTGAACTACGAATAATGCTGTAGTCGCGAATTTATTTATTATTTAAAAAAAAAACTGCCGTCCATTGTTATGTTAATTTATTTTATTCAGTACTCCGTATAGCTTACCGATAGTTAAATTTTGTTCATCTCCCCAATACTGCCCTGATAAACGGTATTAGTTTTAATTATTGCTTTTTGTCCATCAGAAAACATTTTTCGTTGACCTCCGATACAGGTTAACGGTTTGTGAGGAAAACTGCCTCAGTATGAAAATTTGCTTCTATCAATGAAATTACTAAATTGTTACGCATAATTGTAAAAGAGGATTAGATTATATGATAATGCCAGTTCACCATATTAAAAATTCAGTATTTTGAATTATGCCTTAAATAGGTGTTGCTTTGTTTTGGGACCCTGTTTTGAGACATTCTTTTTGTATACAGTAAACTGCTAAAATAGGTGAGAAAATTCATTTAAAAATCATTTTATTGAATTTCTAGAAAAATACTTGCACACGTGCATTATAATTTTTTCCTGATTATTTTTTGCAGGAAACGGGACATGGCTCAAAAATATATATCGATTTTAAGTTCCATTTTTAAAATAATTTAATATATATAATATTGTTATAAGCGAAACCATGAAAAACGAATTTAATATTGAAATGAACAATTCAGTGGCTAGTAAATTTGTATTTTTATTGAATCAGACAAGACAAGAATTCAAGTTTAACCCAAAATATCCAGAAACACCCTTTACAAAACTTCATGAGAACATAAGATTAAATATTTTATTAGTAGTTGAGGATAATCCCCATCGTGCATCTTCTAAAGTAACGTTAAATATTAACAGCTTTGCTTATATTAAAAGGACCTGAACGAAGATGATCCCGACCGCAGAAACTCCTATGGAAATGTGGATCTCCAATCCATCCTTTCATCGCCAGATAGTGTTTAGTGGTGAAACCCCGTTTGGTTTGAATGACAAATGAGAGAAAATTATGCACAAACTCCACAAAAAATAAATGGCTTGGAAGGGAATTATAGGACCTTAATTTTTCAAAGAAACTTCCACAGGCTACTATAATACTGTTTACAAAACTTCTGGATTCTTCCTGCGTCGGTTTTTGCAGAGTCAGTTTCAGTCAAGCTCTGAAGAAGCCAACAGGACGATTGGCGAAACGTCAGCAATTTCGACTCAGCAAAAACTGACGCAGGAGGAATCCAGAAGTTATTGGACATTATTTCTTAGATCAAAATCTTACTGGAACCCGATGTTTACAAATCCTTCAAAATAACTTAATTCTTACTTTCGCAGTCTCTTTCTAAAATCCCAGCTGCCTGATGTGTCAGATAGACAGATTTGGTTCCAACAGGATGGTACTCACAAGAGCGTGAATATTTAAATATTTAAATATTTAAATGTTATAAAATAAATTTTAATCTCCATATATTACTCCACTGGAGATTCTCCTCTGGGGATATTTAAAATCAAAACTGTATAAGGAAAAACCGCAAAATTTAGATGATTTCAAATTTAGACTTAGACATGTTTTCTATTATTTTGCTCATAAAAACTAATAGATAGGTACAGGCTTTCCCGCTTGAATCAACAAAAAGAGACTTGATATTGACATCTACTTTTTGACCCACCTCGTATGTGTTCTATTTACTGCAAAAATTACACAAAAAAATTATGATGGAGGTGTTCGACCATTTTCATTGAAAACCAATACTTAATTAATTTTTAAATGAATTTGTTCCATATTTTAGTAGTTCACTAGGCCTAGGATTGCGTGCCATTAATTTTATAGCATCTGTATTGCTGTTAATATAATATACATATAATATAATTGTATAGGTGCCAATATAGAAGCAATTCAAATGCAATATTAATAAATTTATTGAAAAAATCAAAAACTATTAACTTTCATAAAAACACTGCTCTCTGATTTATATTTTCAAATTTCTTCTGAGTTATATGTGTAGAAAAAATGGCAGTATCTACAAGAATTATTAAATAATTAAATTAAATTAATTAAATTAAAATTAATTAATAAATTAAATTAAATAGGCTCTCTGAGGTCGCAGTAGAAATATCTGTCGACACTTTGACATAATAGTTTGAAATAAGTGAAATAAAGTATACGTGTAATTAAAATTTTAAAATTGTAATACAACGGTGTCAGTTATACGATCCAATTTAAAAGCATGCTTCATTTTCATCATTAGGTTTTTGAAATGCATAAGACAACGTTTTTTCAAGAATCAAAGTTTAATGGGAGACCACTGGCGTTCGAAATAGGTGTCTTTACAGTTTTTTTATGTCATTTCAAAGCTTTTTCTTAAAACCAATAAATAAAATCATTCAGAATAATTTGGCTAACATATCACCTTAAAATCTTCCGGAAAAAGTAAATTACGTATTGTTTATTAGAAATTGTCCCAAGACGTACCTTTAAATTTAATTATTTGGCAAGGTTACTGGCCCGTTATATAAACTGATCCTAACACGTCGAGAGTATCAGTTACCCGATCACCCCAATCGTGCACTAACAAAATGACTTCCAAGGTAAGTACCAGTACAGTAAGTACAGTTTTTTTTTCAAGAAACTATTATTGTAAAACTTACTCTACGATAATTTTTCTACCAATTCTGAGAGTAAGGTTATACGCGCTTCCCTCAGTAAAGATCTGTCAACATTTCCAAATAAAGGAATCAAAAGATTTTAAGATGTGGCAAAAGTTATGGATTGAATTGAAAATGGATTGAAATGAATCAAAATGAATTTGAAAAGTAGCAAAATGATTGCGCACATCAGTTATTATTTTGAGTTTAGAGATATTATTTGATTTATAGTGAATATGTAAAGTATATCAAAATATAAATTTGACGTAAGGCATTTGAAAAGTAGCAAAATTGCGTTCGAATAGTATTAAATAAAGGAAAAATGTAATAAAAAATAGGAAGTAATGACTAGAAAATGACTTCGCACATCAGTTATTATTTTGTGTTTAGAGTTATTATTTGAGTTATAGTGAATATGTAAAGTATATCAAAACATAAATTTGACGTAGTGTTTTTTTTGAAAACCCTAATTTTGAAATCCGGAATTGGAAGAAAATGTCAATAAAATGTTTATACTTAAAAATCTAACAAAATACTGCGCAATTGAAATATTTGTTAAAGTGCTTTTAAAAATTTTATTTTACTTTGGACTTACTAACAGAAAATTAAAAAAAGTCTTTAAATCATAAGCAAAAATATTTCTTCCTCATTAATATATGTAGCTCGTCGTCGCTTTCTGCGTCTGCCTTGCCGCCGTCGCCAACGCCGGCGTGTTCGTAGGACCGTCAGCGAAAATCCTGCAAGGGCCTAGCAGCAAGACCACGGTGGTCGGACCCGATGGTAGCGCCATCTCGGCAGTGGCACCGGGCGGTCAAATCGTCCACGAAGAACACCCGGGTGTCGTCGCTTATGCCGCCCCCGCCGCCCATTTGTCTTACGCCGCCCCCGCGGTAGTTGCTCACCACGCCCCCGTTGCTCACTTGGCGTACTCCGCTCCTGCTGTAGTTGCTCACCAGTCTGCAGTTGTTTCTCATGCCGACACTATCGTAGCTGGTCCATCTGGTACCATTTCGACCGGTAGATCTATTGGTCAGGGTGTTCCGGTAGTTGCTCACAGTGCGGGAGTCGTTGCTCACGCTGCTCCGGTAGTCGCTCACGCATCAGTTCTTAGTAACGGTCACGAAGGACAATACGTCCACGACTACAGCGAATCGTTGTACGATGACGGATCTTACAAGCCCCATTATTATCATTAGAGTTGAACGAGTCACTGTACATTTGTAAATATAGAGTTCTTCGTCAAGCAGTTTGTTTTTTTATCATTTAATAACGTAAGCAGAAAAAAATTTACGCACAGTGCTGTGTAAGGTACTTAAAAAATTACTGAACACATAATTTTATTTGTAATGATTATTATAAATCAAATGTTAGGACTGTAAAATTGCTCATATTAGTATACACACTGGTTTAAAATTCAAAATCAAAGCTATCCATGCAAAGAAGACAATCTGTCCAATACACCAATCCATAACAAAACCAAAGCTAAAGTAATTATGTAAAAACAGCATCAGAAACCGAGTATGTAAAGATGGAAATCACAATCAAATCAAATTTTTTAAATCAAACCGAATTTATGAAATAACGAATACATCAGAACAAATAATAGAGTACATCAGAGGCACCTAGATACGACGTGTATCTGTGTGTGGCACATAAATAAATAACACATTCTTTAATATATTTGGTAAACCTACACGAAAATTGGGCAAAAATGCTATCCCCGAGATAGTATATAAAGAGGTTTTCTTTGCAATATAGGAATCAGTGCTAGATATATCATTCTCATTATAAACGGAAAAAATTTTTGTAAGAATTGCTAAGTGAAAATGTGATAAAATAATTTTTTTAAAGGCGTGAAGATTTTTTTTATTATTTGATATAAAATTTAGTGCAAGTGCTTAAAATTTCTTTACAGTACTATTTGATTGATTCATTTGATACCATTTGGCGAAAGGTTATAATATTTTTTACCTTTTTTTATTCTACTTTAGTTTATTTATTATTTATTTTTATATTATATCTGCCGAGGTGTTAATGATTTGATCTGCTTTGCTCATTGTAGGATTTACATACACAAGTGCACCCAGCAGTTATAAAAATTGTCAGTTATTTCATGATCGCACAATTTGTTTGTGGAAAACCCCTTGATTTTTTAAACGTTATCTTTATAAGCCTGTATTTCTTTAAAATAATTAAGGTTGTTTTCATATACCCCACCCCATAATAATATTCCATATTTTAACAGAGATTCAATGAGGGCTTTATTTATATAATAACACGATTAATGTTTTTGAAAGAAATTCCCTTAATAAATATAATTTATCTAAAACTCACTTGCTCAATGGGGTCGACAATATTGTTAACACCTATATTTTGATAAACAAATCTTTTGTAATTTACTCTTTGGTTCTTGCCATGTATCTCCCACAAATATTATCACTCTGTGGTCTGCATATGTCACGATTCTGCTCCAACCTCTAGAACTGCGAAGAATGGAGCATTTTTTTATATGCTCGTTTAAAATTGGCCACCTTATATACTTTAAAAAATAATTAATAATTAAAATATTATTATAGGTTTAACAGAAATTATATAAAAATGAACTCAAAAAGGAAGCGGTTTTATATATCGGAGGAGACAAGTGATCCCTAAATCTCAAATTCATATTCATATCCATTCAAATTTAAATGTAATTAATTAAGTATAAGAGGAATTCTGAATAAAGAAAATATATCTTCTTTTGTTCTGTAATTTGGTTTGTACGGGAAAAAGGTAAAATATATTATTTTTTTTCAGTGTTCTAAAAATGCGTTTATTTAATTAGTATTTCCTTCGTTTATTATAAAAATTACCCAATGAAGTTGTCTCTACAGTCCTAATTTGATTTTTGGGGCCAGTGTAAATTTTTATATAGATTTTCTTCTCAATTTTTGGAAATGTAAAGTGTTCGAAAACGAATCCGCTAAATGCTTTTTAAAACCCATTTTTTCAGAAGCATTTCAGTAACATTACTGCCTAATAACAGGAAAATTTTTTGTCATAAGATTCAATAACATTGAATAACTTTAAATAGATGGTTTATGGTTTTAAGATTGAAAAACTTCATTTATAAAGCCCTAAAGCTAAATGAAATAGTAAAAAAAAATACAAAAGTTTCCTGTTTCAAAAATTAACTCAAATAAATGGCGCAATTGTAGCTAAGCAATACGTAAAAAATTATCAATTTAAAATTCTGTGAAATATTTTTTTGCGTCATTTTTATTAAATTTGTTTTTGTATATCCGTTTAACTTTTAATTATTTGCATAATATTAAAAAATCGTTAATCGTTAATAAAAAATAACATTCATTTCAACAATGAGATTGCCCAATGGACCTTGCAAAATAAAAATCTGCTTTGAGAGAAATAAATGAAATAACGGTTTTTTTTTCAATGGACCATTTTTTATCCCTTTTAAAAGAAGTTCAAAACTATGGAAGTTTAAAAAAACTGCATAAACAATAGAAAAAAGTAAAATACTCGATACTCGGTGGCCACAAATACGTCAAAAACTATAAGGCCCTTGAAAAAAAACACATCTTAGCCCTCTCGACGTCTCGTGTCACCGCCGTTTATAATTCTCTGCGAATTTTTTCCTTTATTCGATATGAGGAACCTCGCTCGCAAGTCCGCCATTAAATTGCCGCGCCCAGCTAATTATAAATCGCGAAAATGTTCCCGGATCGGAGCTTGGCGTGTTGTTATCGAAATTGGAGAGCCCGGAGCCACGCTCGATGCTTACGTGTACGTTTTTTCAGCGACGCGGAACTGAAAAAAGAAATTGGGCGTCGGCAAGGTTAACCGGACAGTTCTTCGTCTACGCAATCGAGCATTCGCGATCCGGCGACTACCGGGCTGAGTATAGTCGTCCCAGAATTAGGAGGGAGACAAATTCTGTTTCTCAACTTCGCTTCAAAATTAACGCACAAGAAATTAATTTAATCTCAAAGTTCACGAGAAAATTGACTTTGAAATAGGAGAGCTCCATAGCGTTATATATTTTAGTGTTTGGAGAGATATAACGGAGGTTTCAAAGTAACCCTGAATCTTACATTTAAAATATGGACATCTGTTCGAAAAACAATTTTTGTTGTAGAGATTATTAGTCGTCACAGCCTAAAGCTGTGAAATATACGTCCGTCTTTTATATACAACCAATGCGCAGATCTAAGCATATAACCGTGGATTTCTAATACCAAATATAATTCTAAGGCAACAGTTTTCGATTCTTTACACCCTATAAGCTGTGGCGCAGATCAGAAATAAATTATGCACAACATCACAATAATTGACTATTGATAAAATTTTGAACATCATTAACAATATTTATTGTGAATTAGAACTAATAATCCAATTTTTGGACACGATTTGAAATTACTTTTTTAGATAACGATAATTCTGTGAAAAAGTATTACTTTAAAATAGACTCACAACTTTGGGAATTTTTACGTACAGGATGTCCGTTCATTATTGGATGATACATTACTCAAAATCTGTTAAAAATACAATTAAAAAAAAATTTAAGGACAAAATTTCATTGGATTCATATAGGCCTTTAAAATATTATTAAATATTATAAATACAGGGTGTTTGAATTTTCGTAGACTTTTTTAATTTAAATAGGAAACGATATTAACATATTTTTGAATTTTACTAAACTTTCTAGACACATTTTATAATACCTAATTCTTACCGTTTTTGACATATTTTGACTTTTATGTCAAAACTGACTTTTGCAAGTATTAATATATTTATTAATTTCTCCGACTGGGGTTGATTTTCCTATAGAATGGTCTTTCCTTATAGAATTGCCCCTATAGAGTGGTCTGTCTTAACAAAAATAAATAAATACAAGAAGTTCAAAAAGTGACATTGAAGTTTCAAGGAAAAAATCGCTTTTTTTTTCAAATGAAATAGTTTTTAGTTTTATCGTATTTTGCATTTTGTATAAGGGTGCCTTTGTATAACATTGATTCTTTTAAAAAGTTCTGGATTGCGAAATATAAACAATACTATTGTCACGAAGAAACTTGGCGAAAAAAAAAATCCAGAACTCCACAAATGTCATTATTTTGGCTTGGGTTTAGAAATCAATCATGCTACTTAGTCATTTTTATTGAAGTGCTCATTTTAATACAAAAAACGTTCTTAAATCTATAAATCGTTTTCCAAAAAAGACTAAATAATAATAAAAAAAATGGCTAAATGTGTTTCATAACATTTATTCCATTTTTTAGACTTTAAACAAATTTTTAAAATGTTTAAATGTTAACAACGTAATTACCAAGCAAAATTTATACGATTTATTAAAAAATGTCCACTAAATCGTAGTGCAATTTTGTTAGTGCTTTTTTTGTCTGCCATATTTTGCCATTCTTGACCAATTAGTAGCCATTTAGCATCAATATGATAAAATTCAAAAAATGTTTTAACGATTTTTTAATTCAATTTATTAATATTAGTTTTTGCCCACCCTGTATTATTATAAGATTTTTACATATTTAAAATTTTGGGAGGAATTGAAACATACATTAATTTCCGTTTAAAATACTAAAATTTTTGCTAATCCATGAAAATAAAACACCCACGCACTGTATATACAACAATATAATATTTTAAAAGTATAAGGGAATAAAATCAACCCTTGTCCACAGACAAGATATTAAAAAATCTTTAAAATTTTTTCAATAATTTTAACATATTTTGAGATAAGGTAGCATCACATAAAAAACCGGTCACCCTTACATTTTTTCAATTCCAGATACCAATGTGTTAAAAGTCATAATCAGGTCCTTATCATATCGAATTAATAAGGTTTCAGTTGCAGATAATGATCTTGTCCTAGAAAAGGGAATAATATTCGGTACATGCCGCTAAATCTCACACCCTAACATCCACTTCGCGCCATTTTCTTTCGAAACAGAGCTTCTTAAAGACTTAACAAAACTTATGATTTCCCTGAATCTTGAACATTTGCCACATACAAATTGAAAATTGTTTAATTGACCAGGCTAGCCCTATGCTAATAAGCCGGGTTTAAAAATAAGTTTTGTTGACAAAACCATACATAGTTTATGTTAGTTGACTTAGTTAATAAATAATAAATAATTGAAAGCGGGTGAGGGTGTCAAAACGTAATAATAATGTTGGTGATTATATAATTTTAATACAATTTTAAATATCATTTGACATCCTAAATAATACGTTTGCTTTTTGTTTATTATATCACCTATAATTGGACACTAATAGCAACCCTTAAATTGAAAATGCTTCAGAAAATTCAATTTTTTATAATTTCAAGTTCTTTTATTCATATTTTAGGATGGAATAAATATATGGAAATAAGATTTCTGGGTATTGGGTGCTCGTTTGCCTATCTGTTATATCGTGCCATTTCAAGCGCCATCTGGTGGCAAGATAAGAGGTCGCAAATGTAGCACGATTCGTAGGCTGAAAATAGCCGACTCTCAGTGTATTAAAGTGCGTTAAGGCTTTTCGTAGTTATCAACATTTATATCCGAAATTATCCCCTTTTCGGATTAGAAGTAGAAAATTTCAATTTGTCTCAAACAGCACTCACTCTAACTGTTGTTAATATAATATTGTCATTTCAGAAACTAAGTAAAAATTGATTTCCATTGAAATCTTCTGAGAAAATTGCGGGAAAAGAAAGGAATGAATGAATGGCAGCGGCTCCAGCGCTTAATTCGATTTTAATAAGGCGATAATTTAATCGTTGGTTATTGAACTTGACTGCCGTACGGCAAGGACGTCTCCGCTTATAAAAAGTACGACTAAAATGTTCGGAATCATTGTCTTTAACCTCGGCAAGCAGGGCATCGTCACCACGGCTATGTGCAGAAACGTAAGTGCATTTCGAAATATAATTATTATCTTATACGGGGTGTTCCTAAAAATCATGCCAACATTGAAGGACTTACTATATCCCGAAAAATACAAATTGTTTTTTTTTGTCTAATTCATGTTGTTTCATTTTTATTACTTTTTTAAAAACTTTTTATGGGACACCTGTATACTTCTTTATTGCTATTGCCGACCAGATAACGAAACCATTTTTCGTAAGTCGCATTTCGTCAGGGCGTTTTTTTTTTGCCGCCAAGATTTCATCTCCAACATTGCGCCGAGATGAGAATCTTTGACGCGTGCCACATAAAAATTGGGCAACTTTCCGGACATATTTTTTTTAGTGTGATAGTTATAGATATGAGATCGTAGGTGAAGAAAACGAAATTACCAAAAGTCAGATGTATGCCAATGTCATTTTTGTATTCGCTTTACGCCCGAAGACGGTAAAAAAGCTAACCAAAAAATTTTAAAATTTTCTTTTATGACACGAGCTTTTAATCTTCAACTTCAACCATGCCACTTAGCTGCTAATAATTTAAAAAAATGGTTTGTGACATTCTTAAGAGTTCAATTATATTTTAAATTTTTTTCATGAAATGAACAACATCTAAAGCTGGAATATTTTTTATATTCAACTGTCAGCAGAAGTTTCTTCAACTAACGCGACAGATTTTCATTCTCGATATGATATATGATCTGAAAAGCTTTAGCGATATCGAGATAAATGCATAGAATTACTTCGTTGTAGTTAATCCGTATTTTCCAAAAGCAGTTTTGCCAAGTTTCTTTTTCTTTTATTTCGGCTACACATACAAAAGTTTAACTTCACCCACTTGAAAATTATAAAACTAGAATTACATGTCTTCCTACTATTTTAGTGTTTCAAGAAAATAAATACATAAATGACAAACGAATGAATAGTGCCTTTATTATACTGAATAGACTGAAATAATAAGTTATACATGTTACACTCATGTATCAGTGGCGATGTTCAGCATAAGCTGCTTAATCGCATATTGTGGTAAAATGAATACATAATTGAATCTATATTAGAGATATCTCTTTTAATATAGGTTTGAACTTGATGAAAATCCATTAAACAAAATTAAATTAGAACAAACAAATGTTCAGATTTTCACAGTTTGGTTTATGACAGCTGTTTGTCAACACCTTGCCTTAATCAAATATGCAAATGTAATATTGTTTTCCGACGTCTTTATATATAAGCAGGTAGTAATAGATTCTTAAGCACCGTTATTGTAGAGTTGTAAATTTTAATTTAACAACGGAGACCCATTCAAATCCAGGTGGTCATTTGAATGTCTCATTTTTTTATCTCCTACATTTTTTTTTTCATTTTGATGAATGTGTTTATATTTTAGTGTTCGTTAATGAGTTACTTAAATGTTCTATTTGTTTGTCCGTTATAAATTTTATGACATGATCCACATTTAAAATTGTAGTAAACTCTTGTACTGAATTTTTGGGTTTTTCGGGAGTTATTCTTATTGTTTTTTAAAAAAGGTCCTATGGTACTTTTAGACCAAATTTGTTTCGAGACTTTCTTGCTAGGTTCTCCTATGTATTTTACAATTTGGGGTTCGGTGTTTAAGATGGAATAGGTAGAGTTTAGAGTTATTTGAAACTGTTTTTTAGTAATATTGTTATCCAGAGGTCGCCAACCTGTCGATCACGAACTACCGGTAGCTCCCACAATGATTTTCATTTAAAAAATACAAACTGCAAAAATTAGACAAGCTTCAAAATTCCACAAAAAATCTAATTGTCATAATATTCCTTGTGGGTAGCTCACTGTTTATTCCAAAATTAACAAATTAGGTCAACACCAAGAGGTTGACGACCACTCCTCTTATCTATGAAACAGATCGTAGCCAATAATAAAAGCCATTTGTTTTATAATCATTCTTTTTCAATTTTTTTTCTGCGGAAAGTGATATATTAAGTAGTCTGTGGATAAATGACTAAAAGGCAGCCATGTTATGTGTAAGGATGATTTGAGTTATTATATATTGCGATGTTCCTGTGTGAGAGTATCAAAATAAAATTTCGAATTCTAACTTTGCGATTCATTTAAATTCAGAATTGTACAAGTTTTTTACAATTTTGATTTTTTTTTCAAAGAAACTTCCGCAGGCTACTGTAATGCTTTTAACAAAACTTCTGGATTCCTCCTGCGTCGGTTTTTGTTTAGTAGAAATTGCTGACGTTTTGCCAATCATCCTGTTGGCTTCTTCAGTTTCAGTCAAGCTCTGAAAAAGCCAACAGGGTGATTAGCGAAATTTCAGCAAGTTCAACTCAGCAAAAACCGACGCAGGAGGAATCCACAAGTTTTGTAAAAAGCAATTTTGATATTCTACATAATGCATCAAAGAGCAAAAAACTAAATTTGTTGGAAGCCATGGAGATTAACAAAATGAGATATTCCATTCTATTAATTATTAACCAATTGAATTTGAATGGGTCTCGATGGTTAAATTTAAATGTATAATTCTACAATTACGATAATTAAGAATCTGTTACTACACCTGTTTATAGATGTATATAATATTTTATAAAGACACGAGTGTTGCCGAACTAGCTGTCACAAACCAATAAATAAGTGTGAACATCTGAACACCTTTCATTTTAATTTAATTGTTTTTAATATAGTACTTAAATTACAGACATAGATGATCATTTGCTAACAGCTGGTTAAATATTTTCCACCTTTTATGTGGCATCTGGCTGTTCTGTGTGGCGTAACATAGTTTCAAGTACTGCAGTACAAGATCATATAGTACACCAATTTTCAAAGTATTAAAGATAATTGCAAGAAACAGTCTCATATCGCTTTTAGAGATTAAGCAGAGCTCTCGGAGATATGACCAAACTTAATGCCTTTATGTCTTTTATGCAGGAGTTCTGGGGTAATCGCGCTACAAGGGTGAATGAAAATAAACTGAACTGCGGCAGTTCTAGCGATTTTCATAAAATAATTTCTATTAGGAGTTTTGAATTAAAGTTTCTATAAGTGTTTGAAACTTATCGAAAGTCCTACTACTACTTATGGCTCGTAAAAGTGCAATTCTTTTGCTATAATACGATCTGAAGCAAGATTAAATAGAAGAAAGTATTATTTTCCTGAACGCAAGTGGGTTAGTTTTGGTTATCGCAAATTTTTTTGTTTGTTTGATTTTAAATATAAGAAACTATACTAATTGACGAACTTTTAATACCAGAGCCAAAACATTAGTTTTTGGGTTTCAACTGGGGTATCACATTATTAATTCAATAGTTTCAGTCAAATTGTTGACCTAATGGCGGATGCGCTAAGCTTGCCAATAAAATATCATCCATTTATAGCCAAACAAACTATGACACATACAATATCAATAGGTAGTAGCCTCTTTCCTTCTGGTCGCAACGGTCGCGAATGCTGGAGTGCTTCATCTGCAGCCGGCAGGCATTTTAGAAGGACCTAGCACCAAAACGAAAGTCGTCGGACCGGACGGAAGCATTATCGACGCCTACGCCCCTGGGGGCCGAATCGTCCTTGACGGTCACGCCGGACCTCTAGCGCAACCGGAGCCCTTAGTTTACGCGTCTCCAGCTATCGCTGAGCCTCAAATCTATGGAATGAACGTGCACAGTGCGGTAGCCGAGGAAGAACCGCTTACCAATAGCGTGGAAAATGCCAAAGTCATTCAAACTCCTTTAAAAGAACCCTCGATCGAATACAACGATGGGGAGGAGCCTAAAGTCTTGCTTCATCCCGGCACTGAGCCTAGAGTTGAAACCAGAGAGTCGATTCCAATTACGGAGGAACCTGCCGAGACTACTAGGGAATTGACGACCGACGCGACGTACACCACTGTCGGCTTCGGAGTATCTGACGTAGATTTGAGCGGGCGATATATTCCCGACAACTTGGAACAGCTGTACGACGACGGCAGTTACAGGGTGGAACACTACTGAACGCGAGACTGAATGTGTAATTTATTTTCAATACAAATTTTCTATAAAAATTTCGATTTTTATTTTTACCTGACTCCTAAGAAGAAACGACCCATTTACTTTTGTAAATTTTTAACTACTTTTTGGATACTGTACTGAAGTACAATTAAAAGTTGTTTCTCTGCTCTGCATAAACGGGACAACGATAATCAATTCTAGTCTATTTGGTCAATTAGTCTTGTATTCAAAATAAGGGTCCAAAGCTGAATTATAGACCTATAACAATTCCAAGTTGTTTTTCTAAAGTACTAGAAAAATCCACGTCCATGGTGGACACTTCATTAGGAGCCTGTACTTTTTCTCAAGAACTACTGATTTTAGAAAAAAAAAAGTTTATCCAAATTGTAGTGGTTTCAAGAAAAAAAAGTGTAGTGGCAACAGTGCGGGGTAGTAGGAGAATGGGAACGCCGGAAAAGAGGAAGGCCGGCGGCGCTCGACGAGTGAGGAGTGCTCCGAAGAGTACCCAAAATTTGATGTAGATCGTATTCGGTACATTTGTAGGAGTGTAAAGTCCGAGTATAGAAATAAACGCTGTTGTCGAAACCGCTTCGCCCTTGTTTTGACGAACCCGGATCCCTGATCGACTTCAAAAGCTTTATGGTTTGAATTTAATTTTAAAATGATTTTTTTTTGTATATACATGATGTCCTGTACCCAATCTAATGGATTTTGAAACATTGACACCTAATGATTTTAAAGAATTTTGAAAGCATAAGAATACGTAAGATAATGGCTAATTTAAATGTTTTTTATTCCGAATCAGAAAGTATAATTTACATAATCGAACAACTAATCAGAATTTGCTATGGAATTGCTTTGAATAAACTTCAATATTAAATATTTCTTCTCCCATGACTTAAATATTTCATTAAACATAATTATCTAGGAACTATTATTTATAATTTATGTTATTACCTTATTTATCCTTAATATGTATCTAACAAGATAACTTCTTTGCCGTAGGTGCAGATGAATCTTAAACAACTTTCAATTCAAGTGTTCATAATACGGGCAGATGTATCACCATCAAGTGCAGAGTCTGCTCGGGTAGTGATACATCTGCCCGAAACATTGTGTAAACAAAGAATAAAGACAATGGAAGTATCTCCACTGAATCATTATCTACCTTGAAGCATAAGTATTCACAATGTTACGTTAGGCTGTTAAATAAAATCTGTAATGATCCATTGATCAGGGCCCGTTATTTATCTCCATTGTCTTTTTAATGTTAACATATTAATTAATTAGGATGTAAAAAACCGAGGTGGGAACGTGAATTAATCCAATCACTACGGTTTCGCGCTTTTTTGCCTCAAATGCGTCGCAGCAATTTTTATGTCAAGAAAATAACAATACCGTTAAAGTGACAATTAACTTTCATACATTTGAATGCGTCTTCTCCTACGTCACGTGCCTATCACTTTTCATTAACAAATAGCTTTAGCTTCAGCTCAGCATCACGAAAGACGAACTCGAACAAAAATATCGTTGAATTGTCGGGATAATTGCATTTTACTTTCCAAATGTGACGTCTTTGAAATGGCAGAAATTGAATTTAAATTTCCCGTTTACTCAATTACGCAATAATTTTGTAAGCAAAAATGCCATTTTACATATCGCTTACGTACGGAAGCAAGGTTACGACAAACGTATTTAATATTTCTCTGTTTTCACACTGGCATCACACAAGTGAAACCAGGTGAACAATCGAAATGCATTCACTGGTAAGTCTTAATAATTAGTTACAATTAATTATTACAATATTATTATACAATAATTGCAATATGCTGTGGGTTTTTTTTTATTACGGTATATTGGTGCTACTAAAGGAACGCATGTTTTCGCTAAAATCGGTGAAATCAGGAATCAGTGGAATAATATTTTCCATTGGAACTTTTTAAATGGCACTTTCCATGATATATGGCATCTAGAAATGTTTATCTTTAAATAAAAGAAAGTTTTCTCCTATGAAATTAATTTTTCACTTACAGTATACTCAATTTATGGAAATATTTTTGACTAAAATATGTATAAATTTTATTTATGGTATTTTCCATCATACTTATTTCACACGTCGAACAAGTCTGCCATATTTTACCATCTGAACTCGGTTGTCTCTGATAGTCACTGCCTAACATGTTCTACCTAGTTACCACAGAAACTTAACATCACTGTACCTCTCTTTTAATTGTTTCCTGACTTATATTTAGTTGTAGTTGCTGTAACATTCCTATATTATATGAACCGACTTTACTTAATGAAAATCGTCGAAACCCTAATCCTAATCATGCTAATTACATAGTTACAATAATAATAATGGAAGTTTTGGTTGACATAATGTGAAATGGTGTCAAATAAATGAAATCAGATGGTGTGTCATGTGTTTGCGGATATATAGTATTGTTACAATTCAACTAATTTTAAGCTAAATTATTTCGGAAATAATCAACATAATGATATAATTTTTATTCTAGCGTCATAAAATATTCCGGGTATCCAGTTTTGAGCATCTTATGTAAAAACTAGGCTGGGTGAAGTTTTTATCTATCGGCGATGTTAAGCCAGAGTAATTCTTTCAGCTTTTCACTAACATGGTCTGATTTTTTTATTGAACATGAAACGAATACATGAGTTTTTCACTTTTTGTAGTTTGACTTTAATGGTCAAATACAAACAAAGACCAAACACAAAATGGCAATAGTTTGGGTGGTACAAGACCAACGCTTCAGACAATATATTTTTTTAACTTTCTGCTAAGAATATGTTTGTTTTTATATAAGTTCCTTAAGTTACAATAACCTTTTTGTATAATTTTAGAAACATGAATCTTGAAACTTGATTTATTATTTATTTTATTTATGGTATTTTCCGTCACACTTCCGAATTCGGTTGTCTCTGATAGTCTACCTACATGTTCTACCTAGTTACTACAGAAACTTAACATCAATGTTCCTCTTTTTTAACTGTTTCCTAACTTTTATTTAGTTGCAGTTGCTCTAACATTCCTATTCCGAACATTCAGAGATACTAATCCTAATTACATAGTTGCAATAGTAAGAATGGTAAATTTTGGTTAACTTAATGTGAAATGGTATCAAATAAATTAATTCAGATGATGTTTGCGGATATTTAGGAGCGAAAATTTGATAACATCCTATTGTTACAATTCAATATAAATTAACCTGAAATATTCAACATAATGACATAATTCGTATTCTAACGTTACAATTTTTCGAAAAGCTTAAACATAAAAGGGAGAGAGAGAGATAGAGGTTGAAATAATTATATCGAGAATACCATATTTCCAAAACTTAATTTTCGATTCATTGAGGGAAAAGTAAAAATAAGAACAGACAAGCAGGCAAGCATGAAGTGACAAAAGCAAACAATAATTGCAGACCTTCGTGATTCTGATGGTGGGAGTTTTCTGCGCTGACGCGCTCAGACTGCGCGGCAGCATAGATAACGGAGCTATAGTCAAAGGACCTGCGGGCATCATCAAAGACAAAGGTAACGCGGCAGTCGGTCCCATCGAGAGTCCGGTATTCCTAGATAGCGACGAAGACCAAGACGTCGATGGTCCAGGCTTGTTGGTCGATGCCAGACTGGTGGGGTTATCTGACCTCACCCGCAATGGCGGCTACCAAGGGAACGAGGATGATGGAGCAGGAAGGGGCGGCAACGAAGGTCAATACGTTCCCGACTTGAACGAGAAACATTACGACGATGGGTCTTACAAACCCTACCAAGGATAAGGACACCCTCACGCGGTGTGCCCATCTTGTAGACTGATACTTTTTACGTTGTAAATATAATATTTATTTATATAACTTGTCTAACTTGTTTATGCCAGGGATTCGTGGACAAAAATCAGAATTTCGCAATTACCATTATGCAGTTTTTTTCTGCAAAGCCCAGTTATTCAAAATCCAAAACGTCCACTTTCTCGGAAAAAAATCAGATGAATTATATTTTTGAAAATGTAATTTTATTCTCTTTCAGGGATTATCATATAAAAAAAACTATTTTTTTGTGGATATCTTTTAAACTCCTTTCAAAATAATCAATTCATTAATATACGTTACGTATATCATTGTTCACTTCAATGCGTCATCTATATACATGCCCAACACTTTAACTGCAATTTGAGATTGTCAGTCTCCTGACGATTGTTTTTCAGCCTTATCTTCAAGCAAGTTTGAGTTATATCTTAGGATATCAATGTCGCTATGAATATTAGTTGCAGATAAAACGCAGGAGTAAGGAACAAAAAAGTAATACAGGTCATTTACGTATAATGCGAATAAAATAAGACACCTAAGGGACTCCATGATTCACTTGTTTAATATCAGAATTTCCATGACTTGTTGCAAGATATGTTCTTTCCCTCTTGGAAAGGTTCTTTCTATAGTGTCTGTGAAAAATTGACACTTTTAAAGAGAAACTCCCCTTTCTAAAGGAGGTAGGCTAAATGCCTTTATTTTTTGCTCTGCGAAAGGCACCTGAGTGCAACTTAACCGAGCATGTAAAAAAAATCGATAAATAAATAAGTCAATGAGCTAACAATAACAATAGATTCACAATATCAATAAATCTGGGAAAAGGGTAATACTGGGGTGTAAACGAAAATTAACAAAATAGAACAATAATTAAAGCAATCAAATTGACAAGGCTCATCTACATTTACCAAAAGTATAAAAATTAAACTACATAATATCCATTAACAGTTTCTTTTTAAAATTTTGTTTACAAAAAGGTCTTGATGATTTTCCGAGCAGGCTTATTTCGGGGTACCGATTTAGCAACATAACATTACCCTGCCATTATGTGAGTATAATGCAATTTTTCTAAACATCTATTTAACTTCTTTAAAACTTCAGCAGCCTCAGATCTTGGGATGTATGTTACACTGTTCAATGTAATCAATAATATTCGAAGTAAAGATAACAAATAACAAAGGTCCCAGAAGAGAACCTTGGGGTACAACTCTGTCCAATATCTGGTACCATTTCAGAGTTATGTTGATCTATAATTTAGCACATGGGCTATCTTCTAACATTTAGGAAGCTCTGCCGTGACAATAATCAAATTGAATATTTTTCGTAACAAGGAAGCTTGGAATGCCATCATATCCTGTAGTAAATTTTACAGAAGTTGCATCATTTTTCATTTAATTTTCGATCGAAACTAATTAGTTTTTATGCGTCTCCTGCACATCTGGCTTTATTCGCTTGGATACTCGAATAAAGTTAGCATAGCGCTCTCAGTTATCGAGTTTTTATATTTCTGGTGATAATAGTGTTTGAGATATCTGAGATCTGCCGTATACCAGTAGGGAAGATAATCTTTCTTTTTAGAAAATTTAGGTACAAATTCTTCGCAAATATTACAAAGTTTTTTAGAGCATGACCAAAATTCTGAATAACAATTTTTTTATAACAAAAACGTTACTACGAATTTTTAAAAAAGTTAGGAAAACACCCTATAATTCTAAAACCGTACTAGATATCCGCGTGTATGGTTTTTACAATTTTTTTTATGAAAATCAAGCTCCATTAGTTTCAAACTCTACATTAGGTTTCGTTTATATCTTTTAGAACGGAGAGTGTCCTTTTTACAGTTTCCAATTTGGCTCACCCTGTACAGTTTACATTAATTTAATGTCTCGCGTCTATAATTTCTTATTATGCAAAGATTTAACTAAAAAACAATTTAAATTTATTTAATTTTTAATAGCTTTTTGGAATTCAAAAACTTACATACATATGTAAACAAAACAGTTTAGAATAGATTATATTAGAAAAGTAATTAATTACAACGATTGATTTGTAATTTTAAACGTTATTACTAAACTGAGAGCACACAAAATTATTTGTATTGAGATAATGGTTCACAATTCACTTAAAATTTTAGAGACAGATATTTATTTGAACACTAATTTTATTTTAATTTAGATGGGGTTAAATTTTATAAAATATACTCTGGCGCCGTTTAAAACGCTTTTTCGAATAAATCGTATTCAATGTTTTGTTTTCGAAAATATTCGACAGCACATGCAGTTGCCACCGAAACGCACTGAATGAAATTATATATTTAAATTTCTGATAAATTGAAATTAAGCCGGTGTTCATCTAAAAGCGGTGCATTAATTTATCATACATTTAATTAATTCCGTACAATTTTAATACGAAAACAATATAGATATGGTAACTTTGTGTATGCAATGACTGGATATTAATGTCAATTTTTATAAATTATTTTTAGTGGCGTATGAAAACAAAAAGCTTTTAGCGTAAAACCCATTAATTTTGGGTTGATGTGAAATTTTCATTCTTTTTCCACTAAATTGAAGATTAGAATTAGTCATGTTTTTGCACTAGCCATAGAATATTCTATTTGTTACAAAGATGACATTCTGAAGAAATTTCAAATGATTTCAAACTTAAATAAAGCGTAGCGTTGGAAAATGAATTTGACGATTTTTGTTTGAAAACTATTATAATATTCACATATTTTGAGATTTACATGAAATCTTTTTAATTGCCCTTTAAAATCCAATAAATTACACTGTATTTACTAGGTAATTAATCCTAGGAAGCTGGTCCGGCCCTTTGATTTTGGCGTCACACAAAAATGCTTGTTGTCACAGGCAACGCATTGTCGCCGCACATTTTATATTGTTGGTCTGTGGTTTCTTATTAATTACGCTTTTTTGGCCACTGCTGCTAAGGCAATTCGGCCAGCTTCTCAATAGTGGTGCGCAATAAACTATTTCCATGAAGGATGCCTCTGTAAAAAGGATCTGGGTGATACCATCATCCTACTGCACGGCTATACAAAAAAAAAATGGACGAAGGAATTAGAAAATGTGAAAACAGTATTCAAAGTTTTAATCCACATGCATCTAAAAAGCGACAAACAATTCTAGCAGCAAAATCCAACTGAGTGCGGTGAAACAACTGTGGTGATTTTTCCCAATCACAGTCAAACAACACGACTTAAATCGCTTAGTTCTCCAAATTCACAGTCTCCGGAGGGTTTAACTTTAATTCTATTTAGGTGAGCCGGAAAACAGAAATGGTTGCTTCTCAGTCTACACATAGTTGTGATTTCTCTTCTATTCAGATTCAGCTTATGAAACCAGGGTTTAGATGACGGAGTAGAAATTAACTCCTTTCCCTAATCCTATGTACTTCAATCTGTCGCTCCAAGCATTCCAGATGTTATGCTTTAATTTAAGGAAGAATTCCCTAAAAATCAATTTTATATTTCCCCGTGGTTCTAGATGTGCAGCATTGGCGATCTGGTCAGCAATATCGTTTTTTTTTATACTGGTATGGCTTGGTATCCAGCATAATTGGATGTCCTTATTTTGAGTTTTTATTAAGGTAATTAGTTTATTCTTAACCTGCAAGGTTAGGTAGTTAGACTTTGCATCCATCCCAGTTTTATTGATATCTTCGAGGGCACTTTTGGAGTCTGAAAGGATGACTGCTTTGTTGATGTCATTGAATTCAATCCAATCAAGAGCTTGACCAATAGCGTGAATCTCGTCAGAGCAAATGGATAGTTCACTTGGTAGGCTTTGTCCCATTTTAAGGTTCGTATTTTAGTTGTAAACATCAAAACCTACACGGCCTTCTTTATCCTTTGAGGCGTAAATAAAAATTAAATGAAAATCAGGAGGCCAAGTCTCACTCTTCTTAATTTCGAATAATTTGGAGCTCTTACTATCTTTTTTAGTTTTAAGTCCTGAATTTGAACAGTGCTTAAGAGGTTCGACAGTGGATAAGAAAAACGGGGATACACTGGGCTCCTGGTGGATCTAACTGATCTAACTGTGAATCAACTCTTTCAAAAGCATCCACAAATGCAGGAATACTTTTTCTCCGAAAAAGGAAATATTGTTCATTATAAGTGATACATAACCATCTAACCGCTGCTAAGGTTTCACTGCGCACTAAACTGGCGGCTTTCAATAATGATTTGGCTGCTGTGTTCCAAATCCATCTCACTTGCTTCCCCCAGAAGTATATTAGTAGGTGTAGACCCCAGAGCAATTCTTAATGCCTCAAATTGAATTTTGTTTAATTGAGCAATGGACTTTCTTGGACTACCACCCAAAAAAGAGGCCCCATAATCCAATTGAGGTCTGACATAATCTTTGTAATAGGTTAGAATGATAGAGGGATGTGCCCCCCACCAGATTATACTTATAAATCGCATCGTATTGAACCCACCTGAAGCTTTCTGTATCATGTTACTAATTTGTGGCTCCCATGACACTTTTGGATTTCTCCATGATATGGTTCGAGTGTTGAGGTGGAGTCTGGGGAGATAGTTACCATTGTAATTCTTCCTGGGAAAAAATATAGCTGCAGATTTATTGGGGTTAATCTCAAGTCCTACATTCATTTAAATTTTGCAAAGTTGCAAATTATTCACTATTGTTTAGGCATCAATCCCAGTACTCAGCAAGGCGGTATCGTTCGCAAACTGTAAAAGTCTTATGTTCTCAAGAATTGTTTCTTTAATTGAATTGATGTAAATATTAAATAGTAATGGAGAAAGAGGGGAACCTTGAGGCGCCCCCTTGCTGGTTGATCTGCCTGACACAAATGTATTAGTAGACGAATCTTTAACTTGTATCTTCCTGTTCTTATTGCGAACTGCGACACCAAACCAAAGCAAATATTTACGGCACCCAGACCGAAAAATACAGTTGAAGACTGGAATTACGCCAAAAAGATGAAAATTTTCTCAGACCGAGGGAAAATTGTGCACACCACTTCACATGGTTGACCGAAATAAAAAACATTCTTCGGGGTTAGCATGTAATTCGTGCCTTTGTGTGATTGTTATCTGCAATATTTACATAATTCCAATTTACCGTAGGTTTTATAAGAGCACAAGCTAATAATCTGCCTTTGGTGCCTTGAATGTCGCTGAATTTGTCGACAAGAACGAATTGTTTACGTCTGTTGAGCAACTTGAAGTTACCATCGTATTCCATTATATATAGTTTTCCAAATACTTTTCCATATCCTATAAATAAAAGTGAGGTTAGCCTCCTAGTTATTTTTCTCTTAATGAATTGGAAAATAGTTTTTCAAATTGGCCTAAATTTTTAAATAAATAAAAAATAAAATTCTTATGTTAAAATGATCTTGATGGTAAAGGTAAACGTAGGTTTTCAATGAAATGCCATATTTTTCGTTGTTTTTCTATAATCGTTAATTTAATAAATGTTTTTCCACGAGCAGAAATATACAATCAATAACAATTCTGCATTGCACTTGTTCGACAAAAGTGACAAAGCAGCGATTATAAAAAAAACTGATTGCACAGGAACTGAACATACCTGTGGTGTACAGACAAGTATTAAATGAATAATGATATATTGTAACTATAAGAAAACTATTTTTATAAACTACCACAAAAAATTATAAAGATATAATTAAATATGACTTCGTTTATTAGAGGGAGGAGATGCGCGCGCAAGCGAAAAGCATAGCAGCATAGTGTACTAGGGTTCAAAAAGTAAGGTGACTTTTGTAATTGGGCGGGGTACGTACATTCAATTGTCTATATTTTGTTTGTTATGTTCGTTGTATGTTCATGTGTGCTCGGCGAATTCCTGAAGAATTTGCATAAAATTTCATGTAAAACATTTCTGCAAAGCTTTGAGCAAAAAAAAATATTTAAAAGTGGTACAAACTGTTCCAAGATGGCCAAGACGCCGATGACGAGCCTCGTTTTGGACGCCCCAGCACGCCAATAACTGATGAAAGCGTTGAATAAGTGAAACATATCCTGGTGAAAAATCGTCGAATCACTATAAGAGAAAACGCAGAAAAAGTATACAAGCAAAAAGTATAGAAGCAAAATTTTTCCCGAAATTGCTTAAGTTTGAACAAATGGACTGTCAATCATCGCTCAAGAGCTGTTAAACGACGTCAATGATGTTACTGATATGCTCAAAAAGGTCATAACTGGTGAGGAACCATGGAAGAAACAAAAATCGCCAAGACCGAAAAAAGCACTTCAAGTTCGATTAAATGTCAAGGTTTTGGTTATTGTTTTCTTTGATTATCGTAGTACATCAAGAGTTCTTATCGCAAGATCGTACAGCCAATAAAGACCTTGCAGTTATGCGCTGTTTGAGACAAGCAATACTAAGAAAACGTCCGAAGAATTCATGGATATTCACGATAATACAGCTGCTTACTCATCGTTGCTTGTATCCAACTTTTTGCCAAAAAACGAAACACCATCATGACTCAACTATCGTATTCACGGATATGGCACCCTGTGATTTTTTCCGTTTCCCAAAACTCAAGAAACCCATGAAAGGAAGCAGGTTTGGAGCGATCTACTAGTGCTTACCAGAAGTGCTTCAGGGTTTGGAAAAAACAAGTGGGAGGAATTACTTTGAATACTACTTTGATAAATAAATAAATACTTATTGATAAAACTTACTTTTTGAACACGCCTCGTACACGAAAAAGAAAACTGCGTTCATTTTACAGTATAATACTTTGTTCCAGTAAAATATAAAACATATTAAAAAATTATATTCCCTACCACAGTTCTATTTTTTTGTAATTTGATATGGTTGCGCAAGGCAATGCAATTGCTAGCAGCAACGAAAGACTTATAAAAATTTGCAGTATTATGCTGAGGCAATCTAAAAGCAGTTATATGTCTGGTCTTATGATCAAGAACCGTAATGAAGCAGCGATAATATTAATGTCTCAAAGCTGGGTCTTTAGCATAGAAATGGTTATCGTATTTCATCCTGGCGCGGTGCAATAAGGATAAACTATTTTCATAGCTTAAAATACCGTACCTAGTGACGGCAAGAACAGTAGAAATGTCCACATTACATTTTTAGCGGGAAATTGTGTTTCACTAATTGGAAAAATATTTAGAGGGAACGGTTAAGTATTTTTATTCAATAAAAAATATATCTGCAAGGACCCACGGTCAAGATAAAATCAGCAATTAATATTCTAACTACAATTTGCGTGACTTGCCACTCTAAAAAACTTTTTAATGCACCCGTAGAAATGTGCAAGATCATTTATCTCAAGTAATAAGTTATATTAATTAAAACATTTCTAAATTTTTGGTTTCATTTTCCATAAAAAAGGTCTTCTGCAATTTTTCGAGATCTGGGTCATTTTTTAAGCACAAGTTATGAAGAAAATTTGTATGAAAGCAAAATCCTTTTCTTGTTTCCACCAACAATTTACATTTTCGCGTTGACAAAAACACGACTGGCGTTCAATAAGAATTTATTCTCCCGTGAAGACAATAAATAAATCTACGTACAGTTATTTACACGATCGGAGGTAACACAATTTTGGCATCTAATGGTACAAGTACGGCTTGTAAGAACCGTCGTCGTACAATTTTTCGTTGATGTCCGGGATCCACTGTCCCTCCAGTCCGGATCCGGGTGCGAGAAGTCCATGGCCGGCCAATAGACCTGGTGCTCCCAAGATACCGCGTCCCGCGATAACACCTCCGGCTATTACTCCGGGAGCGACTATTCCGGGGGTGACAATTCCGGGAGCGACAATACCGGGTGCTACTAGTCCGGGGGCGACCACTCCGTGGGCGACTCCGCCTCGTACGACTGTTCCTGCTGGGCCTGCGATCACAGCTCGGGCGCCATATCCGCTGACGACGCCGGCGTGAAGGCCTGCGCTGGCCGCGGCTACCACCACCAAGAAGACGGCTAAGCTCTGCAAGAAATGCCGCAAAATTAAATTTCTCAACATATTTGGGGAAACGTTGTTATTTGTTTTTCTGGAAAAACATTGACATAACAAATTAGATCATTCTAAAGACACGTTACTACTATTGAAATATTTATAGATTTACGGATTGCAATAAGGAATTATTATTTTTTATTGAAATAGGAGATTTTTCCATGATTCCATAGTAAACATTTTAACTAAAGTTCGCCTATAGTTAATTATTTTTAATTTGTTTTTTAATACAATTTTTGTCCACATTAAGGAGAATGGTATAGAATACTCTGTAGTTACACTTGATTTTTAAATCTCTTTAAAGTTTTAGATATTTTGTTAATACGAACTAACCAAGACAAAATAATAATAATAATATAGATAATAGGACGATTGTAAATATACATTTTAATAACAAATTAATTTCAGCTATCGTTTAAAAATTATTAACATGTATTCGTTAAAAAAAAATAAAAAACTGCCAAATCAAAATAATAATTATTAATAATTCAACGTTTATTAACCCAGTAGAGCAAAAAAATAAAAAATCAAGTGGTTCTAGTGTCCTACATCTATGCAGCCGCAGAAAACAACAATACATATAAATCAGTGTATATATTGGAGCAACATAAAGTGAACGGGCAAAATTTGAAACAAATTCATTTAAAAATGGATTTTAAGAAAAATGCTGGCACACATCCATCTTTTTTTTACACATTTTCTTCAGTAAATGGAAAATAGACAGGAATTTGTCAAAAAAACAGTTGTTGATAACAAGTTCCTTTTTTTTGAATGGAACATAAACCCTTTTCAAAGTCTCTTTCTTTTTATGGGCAAAAAAATATAACATTGAAATTTAATGTTGAAATGAACGGGTAAGTACCAGTAAAGTTTTGAAATTGTTACATTTACAAAAACTAAGAGAACAAAAATATGAATTTTTCTTTACATGGAGACAAAACGAGAACTCCAGAAGAAATTTATAATTTGTTTAACGCAAAATATCCACAATTAAAAAATCGTGGGGTAAATAAACAAATAATAAATAAAATTTAGAAAATTATTGGACCTTATTTTTTTGATCAATTTTGCACGTCAAGTGCGTGAATATTAAAATAAGACAGTGGATTGATAGAAGATATTAGATCTCCAGATATTACTCCCCTGTATTTTTTCCTCTTTGGATAATTAAAATCAAAAGTGCATAAGGAAAAACCAAAAAATTAATATGATTTAAAAATTAGAATTAGATACGAAATAGGAAATTTCACGTAGAATTCGAAAATGGATTTAAAAAAAACATGTTCCATTTAAAAAAAGGAACATGCTATCGACATCTACTTTTTGACTACCCTAAAATTATGAGGGATGCGTGCCAGCATTTTTCTTGAAATGAAATTCCTGATTTTTAAATGATTTTTTTTACTTATTTTAGCCGTTCACTGTTATAAGCCAGCGTCAGTATACGTATAAATATACAGAAGACAGGGACGAAAAAGAAAGAAAAAGATAGGAATAAGGGAAAAGTATTGTAAAATATGAACACTAAAATATTACTGATTATAGTGAAACAAACAAACAATGCAAAGTCAATCAATCATAATATTAAATCTATTTAAATACGAAACAAGACAGTAAAAGTAATAGTAAGAATATTTTTTAGTATGCCTTTACGTTTATGTACCTGCCACCAATAAATTTTGTTGCCATGCCACATTTAAGAATCTTTTAAAAGCGACTGGCCAGTTATGGGTCCAAAAGTGTATGAGATATATATCACCTCAGACACGAGTTTTGTAATTTCTGTATACGTTTATAATCACACTTATCAGTTGCATGGTCCAAATACACTCCCGCAATAATTTAATGGCGACAAAATGAAAGATTCAGTTGTACTTTTCTTGTGCACTGATTTTGTTTGTACTGCCTTTTCCGGCAGCACAGATGTTATCAACTAGCCTGTTACATAAGATCGTTCATGTTTAGATCAGATAAAAATAATAATAACCATTTATAAGTCACTATATGTGCACGCTTACAGGCTTATTGTCTGTGACGCGACAAACGGACCATAAAAACCTCGGACTTTAAAAATTATGTTGCCAAATCTCAGCAATATATCAGATCAAACTTTATCCCGTTAACCCCAATTTTGCAAGTTCCATTAGGCGAAAAAGGACGGCATATACCTGTAATATAAGATCACATTCAAGTCTCGCAAAAAAAATCCTTTAGAACCGAAAATTTATAGTTATCAATTTTGAATAATTTGATACATATTATACTGTAGTTCAAATTTATTTTACAGAGTGTTTGGGAAACAAAGTTTAATAATGAAATTCGGCAAACACAATCATCGTTCTTTCAATTGCACACTATGCTCATTCAAGTTTTAGCTAGTGTTTGAGATTAAAAATTAATTGGCATAATTCTTGCCTTCAACGAGCATCAGAGTAAACTTGATTAATCCATTTTTGCCTTATTTTAACAATTGAAACGCAAGTTTTCTTATTAATAATTAAGGTCCAAGGTACCAAAGAGATTTTTAGCTTTAATTTATGCCTAATGCTATTAAAATTCATAAAGATTATACCGATATGTAATTAAAAATATTTTCTGTTAACAAAACTAATGGGAGCCTATTCCATGAGTAAAAAGAATGACCTTTGTTGGTCCACTAAATTGTTTTTCGTCACCCAAAGAAGTTTCTAGTTAATATAGTATATCTCTAAAATTATTTGTTGCTAAAGTTAATCAGATGAACAGCTAAGCTGGCCACTAATTTACATTATGTAAAAAATTGAATTTAATTACCTGAAAGGTGGTATTCGGCATTTACAGTATTTTCATTTGATATTATTGTTATTATTTATTAAATTCAGTATGATTTTTTTATATTACTTTGTAAAGCTGCAGAAATTCACCACAAAGACATGAAACACTTAAACACACCTTACGTAAGCACATAGGAAAATGACTTGGGAAAACCGCTGCACAAATTCAAAAATTTATTCCCAAAAAAGTACCTGCGGCCCGGCAAGGGGGCTAAGCGGTCCCCCCTCTGACACTAAGTATACTTACCAGGGACTTCATCTTATTCCGTTTCTCGTTAAACTCGCGAACAAGTGATAACATCGTGCAGATTACTTCTATTTTATAGTTTGTTCGATAACCTTGCACACCCAATTGCTCCCCAAGAAACTGGGCAGTTCCTCCTTGCGATAGATTCACCGATATAGGTTAACGCCGCGATGTAATACCGGGCGTTTCCATTTCCACGTACCTCCGATGACATTCCGCAGAAGTTTCTTCACGCTAAGTGTATCGTAAGGGCGATCGTAATAGTTAGTGTTCGTCCAGAAGTTTTTAAGGATTCTTTACTTAATTAAAATTGCGACAGTATACAGCACGCAATAAACGAACTAATTGCGTAATCTATGTAGAACGAAAATGTTTGTTTTCTGAGAGTGGAAAGGTAAGAAAAATATCGCGAACTTGCGTTTATATGAAACGCTTTTGTTTTTTTTTTATAACGGACTATCGAACTCAGTGCCAAACAAAATTCGAAAATTTATTAAAGAATTGAAAACCTTTACGTTTAACGTTTTCAAACTAATAAGGTATGTTCCGCTGTGCTAATGTTATTATCCAATATTTTATTATTATGCTATATATTTTAATCTTTCACGCCGTATACGCATGAAGATAATTAGAAACAATTAATACGCAAGGGCATTGTGGCGTAGACAGCAAAGTGGCGGAAGGCTTAGTCTGACTATAAGAAATTTTAGAAATCGTTGGGTACACACAAGAAAGGATCCTAAGCATGAGAATCTCAGTGCCTCTTGGAGATACAGCTTAGGTTAAATAACGAAAAAGTTATGTTGTTTGAAACATGCCGTTTAGAAACTTGAAAAAGTTTCATGGCCTGCCGAGATATTTGGGAAAATCGATTTCGACTATATCGATTTTATTTATTTTTCTGACTTTATTTGACGAGATATCAAAAAACTAATGACACTTTTCATTGGCATTTTTAAGGTACCACATTATGGTATAAAGAAATTACACTCTATATTGATTCCACTTTTTATTACAAATTGCACGATGTATCACCATATTAAACTAAACTAAAATGCTAGTCCATTTATTCACTACAACTTATTAACCGCAGAACGATCCTTCAATTATTGCAAAATGATTTCAAAGACAGTTTAGGCAATTTATCTTAATAACTGCTGGTTTCAAAAAGCAGCGATATCCTGAAAAGTGGATTGGAACCTCTAGTGAAGTGTCTTTGCCGGTGCGATCCCCGCACTTAACTCCTCTAGATTTCTTCATATTAGGTTTTTCTAAAAACCAAGTTTACCAATATTCTCTTGAATCCGAATAATAGCTAGAAAATGAAATCACAAAGGTATTCACTGAGTGACGTATGATGTGACCATCATAACTGACAATCGTCAAAATACCAAAATATATTGAAAACATCCGATAGCTCTCAACTTATAATTAAGGTACCGTAAACTCTGGCAGTGGATGATCAATCCATAATTGGTTATTTTATAATGTGAATGGAATTTTCTTCTTCGATTTGTAAATGTATCTACTGTTTCACATTATTTAGCAACCCATAACTACTTATTTATCTTTATTCGTTGAAATTCCTAGTTTCAGTTACATCAAATAAACCAGGCGCGAAGTATAATACCTATCGGTAATTAATAAAACTCAATCAGTTAATTATGTCAAACGCAGACATTCCAAGTTACGACCCATCAAAAATAATTTAATTCATTGGGCACTTTGCATAATTAATAGCAAAATATTTTACTGCCTTATTAGCATAACTGATATAATAAATGCATAAATTTACATACGAGTATTGCAAATATGCCTCAGTTAGGGAAAGAATATTAATAAGATATAGTTTTGTTTATTTATTCTAGAATTATTCAATGCATTCGCTTTCTTTAGTTGGTGTCCGAGTTATTTTTCACAAATGGTTACTTCAAAAAAGAGTCCAAATAACCAATCTTGTGGCGAACGTCGAAAGCTCGACAGCAAAAACGTGCGAAGACTTTTGCGACATTTGTGTGGTCTGCGATTTTTAGAAGCACGTGTCCTGGCCCGAGACTGTCCACCTATGACCTATCGCGGGCGGGGCACGTCTAATTTTACCCACCCCCGGCTCGTTCGTGCATAACGTGCTAATTTTAACTATACGGTTGAGCTATTTCCACTATCGAATCAAGTAAACATTTAACGTTCATGCATAACGGGTTGCTCGTTCAAACCAAGTCGTTGTCAGTTGCGTAAGAATTTTTGTTGGAGATTTTAAGCTTCCAGCTTTAGCGAAAGGCATCGAGATATTCATTATTTAAAAATGAACAATTAGTTTTTTTATACAAGTTGTTCTTTAAGGTGTATCAGCTGTACTGACAGCGATAATTATTGGGTTCATTTCCTTTTTCTTTCTTTGATATATGTTATGCCTTGTCTGCATGAATAGGAATTTTCGGGGCCACATTTTTTTATTTCTACCAGTGACTTCTTCAAGGAATCTGTTGACGTCCTTACATTACATTAACCCAAAAAATGGTTTCAAAATTTAAACATAATTGGTGACTGAAGGTTCGGATTTAGTGTAGTATTGTGAAGGTACCACTGACAGAAGTTTACACGTCGTTGAATATTCGAAGGAGGAATTGGTTATAAGGTATTACAATTTTTAAAAAACGGAATGAGCAATAAGCTATGATTGAGAATGAACAACTTATTTTAAGTCAACGTAATTTGACAAAGTCCAAAATCTAGTTAGTGTGACAAAATATAACACTTTTAATTTAATTATTTTAAGCAAAAACGGTACCAAGACAAGAAAAAGGCAAGAAGACGCTAGAAATTACCAGAGTAATCAAAAACAACACGCCACTGGGAAAGATGTGTGCACCTGAAAATACCTCTTGAATGTATATAGTAAATCTCAAAAAGATATTTAGAAATGTTTCTTCGATAATAAAAAATACATATTTTCTCTTGAAAAATTTATCACACTGTGTCTCAAAAGTTAAGAACGTAAGAATATTTGAAGAACACACAATTAAAGGAAAGTCTTGAATATACAGTGAGGACATAAAGTCCGTCTCTCCGTCTCTAACTTTTGAACCGTTTAGTATATTGCGATAAAATTTGAGATGATATGATGAAAATAATATTATATATCAAAATGATGACTTGGCATAGTTTCGGTTATTTTTTTTTTACGGACTAGTTGATCATGTGATACTTTATTTCACGGTCTTTTATCCCCAATTCGAATCTTGATTTTCAAGACGTATGGTCTGTTCATAGATATAAGAAAGTGACCAATTGCATTTGAATGGGATTAGCCAAGGGTGGTTATTAACATACAATGCAAGAAGATTATTACCTAAAGTTTCGGAATTTAAATTCAGGTAAAATTGTGGTCCGTAATAGAAAATAATTTTATACCTACCTGTGTTTAATATTCTTTGATTTGGTATACTACTTAGTTTAAGTTTATTAGCAATCATTCTTATTTCGTGTGTAATACAGCGTGTGCGAATTATGCAAAATATGTGCGAATCTAGTGTATCTCAGGAGATGCTTCCCGCCCAAATATAGAAAACATTATTCTATTGAGACTATGAAAGTTATAAACAATGTTTATTTGACTCTCATTGAACGTGTCTTTAGAAGAAACGGCCACAATGACGAAAATTCCAACATCAACTGTGTTAACTCCAATGTCCTCAAACTTATAGAAACCGAAGTTTTTAACCTCCCTCCACAAAGTTGGGTAAATTGTGTTAAACATATAGAGAAAGCAGAACAATCGTATATCCATATTGCAAATAATATAGAACAAATAATAATTAGAACAGGCGATGATAGCGATAGTGATACTGATATATTTTGTGAATAATTTTAAGTAATTTAAGTAGGTAATAAAAATAATTTGTAATTGTATTTTAGATTTAAACATAAATACGTACATAAATAAGTAAATAAATATTGTTTAGTATCCCAAATAATTAAATTCTAAGCAAATTACGGACCTGTTCGGCCATATTTCATTTTCACAGCTTGCCCGGGTCTTTCCTTGATTCGTATCAGTTAGTCACTTTCTTATATCTATGAACAGACTTTACCTTCTTTTCTCAATTTTTAACCTTATTTATTGAGTTTTTCTAATCAGGTGGTTTAATTAGTAATTAAGTTTAACTAGCAACCATATTGTAACTTAAAAACCAAGCCACGTTGCAGAATTTAAAGAATGAGCAAAAAATAAATTAATAGGTTCGCTAAAAGATTATTGGTCGACATTTAAAAATGAATTAATCGAGAGTGTCCGAAGTCGATGTTTAAATTAAGAATAAAAAAAATAAAGCGAAACTATGCCAAGCCGTCATTTTGACTAATGGAACTGTTATTTTTAGTTAAAAGAGTAGATAATTGTCTCATATAATACCAATCCAACTTTCATCGCAATATATCAAACGCTTCAAACGTCAGAGGAGGGGGGGGGGCTGTATATATATGTATATATGTATACATCATAAGGTAAAATTCTAAATAATAGCATAGACTTTATCTTTGCTAGAGGCCAGATTCATAAAGGCGATATTTTCGGTTTTAAATACTATTCTTCTACTTCTTCACTCACATACATTGTCGTATGGATATTTTTTTCTCCTTTATGATTACGATTAATAGTCTCTCTTCTATACCCTGGATTTTGAACGCTGTGCCCCAAAATGCTAATGCTTTCTAGTAAAACAAATAAAACACGTGCAGGCCTATCGAATTAAACTATTTATTTACAACGTATATCCTAACGCTTAACTAATTAGTGCTTAAGTTCGGGTTTGTAAGAACCATCGTCGTACAATTTCTCGGTGAGATCTTGCACGTAAGCTCCCTCAAGACCGGAACCTGCGACGGTCAAGCCGTACGGTGATTCGGCTAATGGGACAGCTCTGAGCTCGGGCTTGTACGAGCCGTCGTCGTAGAGCTTCTCGGTGAGGTCTTGCACGTAAGCTCCTTCGAGTCCTGATCCGGCGACAGTCAAACCGTAAGGAGATTCTGCCAATGGAACGGCTCTGGCTTCCGGTTTGTACGAACCGTCATCGTAGAGCTTCTCGTTAAGGTCCTGCACGTACGCGCCTTCAAGGCCTGAACCTGCTGGAGTCAAACCGTAAGGGGAGGCTGCCAACGGAATTGCTCTCAGCTGAGGCTTATAGGAACCGTCGTCGTACAGTTTCTCCGTGCCCTCTGGTACGTATTGGCCTTCCAAACCATGACCTTCGCCGACGAGGCGGACGGCCAAAGGGGCGGCCACCAGGCCACCGTGGGCGATGAGGCCTGCCTGGGCGAAAGCCACGGCACCCAAGACAACGAGAGCCTGAGGAAAGAAATGATTAAGTTAAAGGCTTCTAATAAGGAGAAAATATATAAATAATATATAAATAAATAATAATATATAAATAATATAATAATAATATATAAATAAATATATCTCCTACAAAGGAATATAGAAAGTAACACAATAGAAACAATAGAGTGAAAGAAACAATGTGGAATTATGCATTATTCATATTTGGAATTTCTTTAATGCTACTAGCGACTTTATTAAACACTTAGGGCAGCTAAAAGATCTCTCAAAAAGGGTGGAGCTATGTTATGTTATGTTATTAGAGGAAAATTAGGAAAAAAAATTTTGAAAAAAAAATCAATCAGAAAAAAGAATCATTACTATTATAAAGAAAAAATAGCAGGATAAAAAAGTAATAATATTATACCGGCTACGCGTGAATTAATTACTAGAACTAGAGTCTGATATGTATTGTTTTGAATTGAAAGACAAACGAAATTCAAAAATACATATTAAGAAATAAATACCAAGTCAAACTACAAAGTTGCAGTTACGGATTGCATAATATGCCCGTTCTATATATACGTTTTAATTTGTCCATGATAAATGCTAAAGACAATTTAACGTAGATGTAGAAGTCCAGAATTTTGAAAAGAAAGCTGCTTTATCACACCCTTATGGTGCACCAAAATAAAATCTCTTAACATTCAAGTTAAGTGTTAGCATTAACATTTTAGCATAAAATCTTAAAAAATACAATCGCGCCCTTCTAAAACCTCCACCTCCATAAATATTCGATCAAAAACTACACCCGGCGTTCGGTTTAGACTTTGAGTTGATGAAAGAACTATACAGCCCAGTGACGTCATACGCTAGAAAGATTACTACAAAATCAAATCAAAAGAAAATGATCCTATATATTAAAAAAAATGTAAAGGGCGCAACACCGCTTATATTTCGCACATCGAAAAATGACGTCACTAGACCTCTTCTCTCTACGACACTACACCACATTGAGATGCGCTGAACCGCAAGGACGTGAACCTTCCGCTTGTTTTTTTTTTTTGCTTCGATGGCTCCTACGCGCCCGCTTTTCACTCAACGCCCGGTATATCGTACGAAAAATCAAACCGCCAACGTGTTTAACCATTATAAGCGCAGACCCACACTCACACTGACGATTGCGTTCATTTCGTTAAGACCTTGTCGCTGTTCTGTGCAAACCCGAACAAGTGATACCGAATTAGGTGCACGTTTCCAATTTATATACGCTAATGACAACCTTGCAGTTTGTCCACGCCCCGCGAAATTGGGTTGCGGACCGCCCGCCGCGCCGCTTCCCAAATTTGCTTCCGACGCACAGGCCCTTCGCACGTTTCGGTTCGACCGGATCCTCCTGAAAACTTGTTTTTATGTTTTCGTTTCGCCTGGTTTTATTGCACACGCTTTTCCGTCATAGGCGACCGAGTCAGCACGCAACGATGTTATTGCCTCATCGAAAATTATCAAGTCGGCGGTGGTAACCAGAGAATAAAAACAAGCCGGTTGATTAATAAGAGCCGCTGAGCGTAACGCACTTTTTTTCACGTCTGTGACGCGATCCAACCTTAATTTTCCGCGTTCCTGTAGGGATCGAGTAGGCGGCGCTCGACGGTCGATCGGATGACATTTAAAAGCGATCAGAGCGGCGGACACTGATGTGGTCGGCGAGACGTTTCTGACGTCAGGTGTCGCGCAGGGCAGCCGCACAATGGGTAATTACGGTAATTTAGTGTCCAAAAACACAAAAATTCGACCGCCTAAATTTATATGGAAAAATTCACCTGAAATAATCAGCACACCTAGCGTCACTCAAGTCAAATCTATTAACTGTTAAATTATATTTAAACTTGGCGAATTATAGCTTTTCTATACTTTTTCTACGACCGTTAGTTTTTGGGTATATTTTCGCAAAACAACACAAACAAACGTCAAAATTCAAAGTGTGGGAAATATCTTCGAAAACATCCGATTGCTCCCAAATCCGTCCGGTAAAATCCGGGAAATATCCGAAGTGGTTCAGATTTATGGGAAACGAAACTGACGTGATAAGTGACACTTCCCTCACGCTGGATCGGTGGGTAATTAGGTATTTTACAGACGGGAGTAGAAAATAGTATATTATGCAGCAAGTGCGGTAAACGGCATTTGACTCACGAGTTTTTAATGAACGAGCGAGTTAAAAAGTTTACCGGATGTGTTGCATACTATACTTTTTCTACGACCGTTAGTTTTTGGGTACATTTTTGCAAAACAACACGAACACATTCACTGACACGACCGTCAGAATTGACAAACGTTAAAATTCAAAGCATGGGAAATATCTCCGAAAAGATCCGATTGCTCCCAAATCCGTGCGGTAAAATCCCGGAAATGTCCGAAGTGGCTCGGAATCATGGGAAACGAAACTGACTTGGTAAAGTGACGCTTCCCGCACTCTAGATCGATGAGTAATTAGGTATTTTACAGACGGGAATAGAAAAAACAATTGATTGCTTCGTGCAAGTGATGGTTCAAAAGGTATGTGCTCATTTAAACAATATTATTAACTTTTTTCGGGTTAGCATAAAATTAAATTTTGTAATATTATGTCAAATTTTCGGAAATGGAGTTAAGTCCATCATTAATCCTTAGATATAAACATTTTGTTGAATTCTATTTAAAGTGGTCCATATTAAACTTAGTAATACAAAGTTTTTAAAGTTACAATTATGCATGCAAAGTTTTAGGGATAAATACCAAAATTTCATTTTCGTTTTTTGCTTCACCAGAAAAATTATGCTTTTTGCAGTTCGGTCACTGTTCTGCCGGAGCAGCGATATTATCATATTTATTAAAGTTTATATAAAGCATTTTAATAGATAACCCCACCTGATCCGATCCATGTTTTTATTTTCCATAAGATATAATTCATTCACCACTGTTGATCAAAAAATTGGCTGCCAGGACCTGATTTTGGATTTTATGTTTGGATAAGACGACAACAACACGTAGAGAACTTGAAGTATGGCGTAATGGACGCCAGGCTGCAAACCAAAGTTCAGCAGTTTCAAATCATGTTTGAAGTACCATCCTTTTAAACTTTGATTATCAGGATGCTGGATGTAGGCAAACTGAAAAAAGTGTTCAAAATGTATGTAGTAAGGCTGTGGATAAATGGTTAAACGTTATATGAACGTTTTGGCTCAATGCTACCTTTTCTCTAGAACATTTTAATGACGAGAACAATTTGACCGCTGTTGTGGGGCCATTGAAACTTGGGCCATATTCAAAAAATTTCACTGACTTAAGTAAACAAGCAAAATACAACGGAAGAATTAATACTTGCTAGACATGTAAGTTTGTATAAGTCTGGTAAGTGCAATGCTGTTGCAGTTCTACAGCAGCATTGCACCGCAGACCAAGGCCTCTAAAATGAAAGAAGATTTATCCAGCACCCGAATATCTTCAGGGCCAGATGAACATGTACCCCGATGAGTCATTCGTTTCTGTAACAGACGTTTCTGTCGACATAAGGTTACGAGGTCTCGTCTATCATACTGTCCGAAGAATCATTGCAGTTCTGAAAGATGTAATAGAAAATCTAAAATTGACCACTCAATTAAAAAATAGCAAAATAACGTATAAGTGGGGTTGTGACGGAAGTTCCGATCACTCGACATACAGACAGAAATTCATAGAAAATAATGAAAGAAAGACCGACGAATATATGTATGCGATTTGCGTGGTGACGTTATAAATGAATGTTGAGTATCCTATAGTATTGCAAATCCTCGTCCATCGCCAATAAGATTTTGTTGGTCAATTAAATTCCTATTTAGTAAAGAAAATAGACCTCTTATCAAACAGGAAATGCAAAAAGTCAACGAACAAATACGAAACATTACTCCAACAGAGGTCGTTGAGCCATATGGTCATTGAACACAAATTTTGTTTGTCGATGATAGGTGCAGAAATCCGCTTACAGAAACTGAAAACGCTGAATGCCAATGAAAGGTTTTACGAATATGAATTGTCAATTTTACATGCATAGGATTCGATGCTTCGAGTGGATCTTAAGCGCAGACAGACTTGACTGCAAAAAGGGACAAATTCACAACCTGGAATAAAAAAAATTTGGAAGAAAGGAAGAACAAATAATCGGCTTCTTGACAAAAACAATGAATCTTCTAGTAGATATGCAAAAACCCGGCTATGGCACTACAAATAATGGCAACACAGCTGGGCGCTTTTTTCAGAACCGCAGTCTAGCATCGTCTATAACAGGTATCAATAAGGGCTGATCAGGAAGCTAGCCATTATTTTTATGCCTTTTGGAAATATTGTTATGAAGCTGGTAAGATTTAATTAGATCATCGTACTACATGCTATCTAGCATTCACAAGATATTGCTATATGGTGCGGACATAAAAAAAACTGCTGTGTTGCCAAACGGGGAAAATGTTTCGTGAAAAACCATGTGTGATTTATTAAATACCTTGATGTATCTCAAGAGCAACATCAAATGCGCCGCTCTTCGAAGTCTTTAGGTGAAGAAGTCAGAACATTGCTCTGTGAGCCTCATTTACCAATTCCACAACATGTTAATGAAGATAGTGAGTGAATATAACTAAGTACCTACATGTGTAATATTAATTTCATCAAATTATGCTTAATTTTTAATTTTTATTGTATATCTGGTAGGTACCTCTGTTAATTGACACCTTATATCCCTGTGACAGGTAATATTGTTTCCTGGCTTATAGTCAATAACATATTTAATTAATTTTATCTAAATATGTAGTATATTGTAATATTTTTGCTACATTAGAATACTTTGATGAGAAAAAAGCGTTTATAAACAATATTTCGTAACATGTATGATAATAAAAAATGGTGAAAACTTAATATCAATATTCATATCATTTTTGGATGCTATATCATTGATATGGTCCACTGTGAGCCGGTCCGACGCTGAACTCTTCAAATTCAAATTCAGGTAATATTACTATTAATTCAAAAATGCAACCGTATAAAACTACCAAAATTTTGAGGTCAACAATTCCCTAACCAACGACGAAGTTTATCCTTAACGGGCAACTGGAAAATATTCTGCAACATACCAATTTAGGATCATTCTATTCATCAAGGAATGGTTATTTTTTTATGGACATGCGAACAAGTTTTTCTAAAATAGTGGAAAGCTTAAAAAATATCAGTCGCAACGTCATTTTTGCATTTAGAGTTGAAATAACAATTTACAAAAGAGTAAATCCAAAGAAGTATAGGTATTTGAAAGGCTAAACTATTATTGAAATTCCATTTATTTATAATTTATACAATGCAAATAATAAAGTGCCCTTTTTTTCACGTGCAGAAATACATAATATTTTAATGGAAGTACAAGGGTGGCGTAAAATACGTATTAAGTGAATGTTAAAATATATCTCCACAAACGTTATTATATAATTAATATAGAAAGAAAAACAAGTAGAAACTACTATACTGTGGAATTTTTCAATCAAGACTTTTTTCCACAAACAAATTGAACAAGTATGAAATAAGTGACTCAAAAACAATTTTTATAACTGCGTGTTGCGCTGATGTACATATATCTCACAATAAGAAAACACCAATACTTTAAATTGCCTAATAGTCAATAATCCGCTATATTTTTAGGTCCAAAGTATTATAACTTGTTAGCAGATTGCATCAAAAGAAATAAAGGTACTGTAAATGTACCCAATTGTACACCGATCTACAGTGCTACACTTGACCACGTGAGTTTCTTGTCCCACGGATCCGAGCCACTTCGGACATTTCCGGGATATTACCGAACGGGTTTGGGAGCAATCGGATGTTTTCAAAGATTTTACCGTACGGCTTGAATTTTGACGCACTTGTTGAATAATATACAATTAATGCACTTGTTCTAAATTATATAACAAATAATAAAAAAGATTTTAGAAAGAAATTAAAAAAAAAAACTTTGTCCATATACCTAGTACTGAGTCATATATTGCCAAAAAAAGTACACTTTGTTCTACACTAGCTCGGGGATAGTATTTTTATATTATTTATTTTTTTATTTATTTGCCAGGAACACCTAGCAATCATTTTTACCATTCATGTGGTTCTGTGACAAAAACAAAAAATATATATGCATATATACTAAAAATAATAGGAATATAAAAGTTAATTTCCAATTTTTTTCAACTTATTAAGCGTAATTATTTATCTCACTTTATTATTGTTGGGATTCGTCATTCCTACCGTATGCCTTCTTCAATTTTAGTAACTTTTCTGAGTGTATCATTACAAATACGAAATTATTTTGCTCAGTTCAAGAATCTGGATACGTACCATCAACTTAAGGTCG